TCAACAGAGCCGAGCGCCAGGTGTCTGCGATTGGCCGAAAACTTCAAGCTAAACGGAGCCTTAACACATGACAAATAAAGATTGCGGGCTATCTAAGATCGGGTTATATCGCTGTTATATCGACGATTGGTTGCATGTGGTAGTAATGTGTATTTGTGCGTGAAGTGCTTACATTTTATTTATTTGAAGTCCCAATATGATAAGCGGCTTATCCAGCCTACTACGGCGCGGATGTGTGTGCGTATGCGCGTATTTTGTATCCAGCATATTAAAGAATATTTTTTACAAAGCGCGCAATGTAATTATGTCGCTTGCATTAACGTATACGTCAATGTTCGCTTGTGCTTGAATGTAAATATATTAGAGTCTGGCAAGGTAAGCCGGCAGGAATCGTGTTCTAAGGAGGCTTCGCCACTGCAAAGTACCAAAATTTTTTTTTTTTTAAGATCGTGATAATTATGTTAAATAACGAAAATACCCGTCTATTGGGTTTTTTCCCACATAAATACCCGGTTTTTTCCCACTGCCCATCTCTAGACTAAAAACCACAGTCAAACCATTGCAGCTGTCAAATTTTAAACGAGTTTTTTTGGTGTTAAAAATATTAAATAAGTGGTGAAAATGTATCCAACATGGTCTGTAATACAGCTGAAAACAAGGAGAGGAGCATCTGTGCAAGGCAGAAAAGCTGATCTTACTGTTCTGTACTGTTTTTATTATTATGCTACAATGCTCATTCTCGGTACATAAATGCATTTTCCATGATTATTTTAATAGTTCATGGATCTCAGTAACTTTCTTCGGTTCATTTGTCAAAGCTATCTTATTTTTGCATCAGTCAGATATCTCATAGAGTTAGGTCACCTCTGGCTAAAATGGGAAGTATAACATTGGGTTTTTTAACAGACTTGAGGCATATGACCGCAATTTTAATTTTGGTGCAGTTATTTACGATTAAAATGAAGACATCCAGATGCAATTACCTGCCCCAGATACATACCATGATGTAAACAGCAGCTCAGTTCTACCCCCCTTTTCAAAGCAGCATATAAAATTATATTTTAGTCGGTAAGCATGCAGTTTACTCATTTACCAGGAATTGCACAACGCGGCATTTGTAATTTGTTTAATAAAAAGCTTAAAAATGAATATAAGCTAATAGGTATGTATTTGACAGAAGTTTAGGGTCAAGAGATTACAGCGCCCCTAGTGTAAAAAAATTGCAGATTTCTAGTCCATTAAGACCTTATACAATATGGAGCATTCCACGTGAAGCGGACAGGTAAAAAAACTCGATGTTTCCGATTTCAGTAATATTTGAGTATGTTCTACTTATACTTATTATTGATACGTGTACTAAATATTTTTGTGATATAATGACTAGTTAAAGAGTAATGGGACTTTGAAGTTTTCGACAACCAGTTGGCATGCAGTACTTCAAAGACGATTATGGACTCATAAAATTATATATTAAAATAACTAAACCACTGGATTTCCTACTTTATTTACTGGGCTTTTTAACTGTGTTTTTGGAAAAGAAAAAAAAAAATTTTTCGTAAAAAAAAAACCAATTTAAGTTTTTTTCTTTGATTTTCACCAAGTTAGACCATTTAGTTTTTTTTTATTTATTTTTTATATAAATTGCTAATATTGTGTAGAACATTGGTGCCAACTTTTATAATGGGCGTGAAATTGGATTAGGAGCTAGACTGAAAATACTGCCGAAGGGTGGCGTCCAGCGCCGCGCCTGTTGACCGCCGCTTGTGCGCGATTAGTCATCAAACTGTATATCAAATAAAATCACTTTGGACGGAATGTTTTGTAGATTTTTAATAAAACCAATACATAGAAAAAAATCCACGCGGACCAGGCTGCAAACGGGACTCGTATGCATGCCCCATATGCATTTAAGGTTTTAAATGTGTAAAAGACTTTAAATGTATAAATAATGCTTTATATTTTATTATATTATTTATATAATATATTTTATTATATCTATTTTATGTTCAAAGAAATTATTTTTGTTTATCTACATACTACCTACCTACTTACTTCTTACGTGTGCACTAAGGCTGGTTTAGAGTCACGCTGACCATCGGCGCTAATTGGCCATTATGTATGATTACATATGAAGCGTTTTAGAATAACACCGACGGCTCAGCGCTGAGCCATACGCGCGTGTACGCGCCACGCGTCAGCGCCGCTGAGAACGCGGCGCCGCCGATGCGCTTCCAAACTCAGTTAACGTTACCAGATAGACGAGCGCTACAATGAATCGCTATACGATACTGGGCGTGTGATTTAAAGAAGTTCGGCTGCAAAAATGTTTATGGGACGTCAGTAACATATTATATAAAAATAAAGACGCACGATTAAAGGCCTGGAACGACATCTAAATCGCATGACATGCGAAAGTAGTTAAAAAATTAGGTTTCGTCATCTTTTAACTGATTGAACAATGTAACAAATGCCCACTAGCAATCTTTGAGAAATAAGTGGATGAACTTGAAATCTTTTTCTTCGTTGTTGTTGAAGTATTTTTTTTGTATACATAGGTATACAGGGTGAAATTGAATGTTTTAATGAAACTTCGTGGGAATGTTGGGTTACGTATATAGAGTATCTCTGATTTTTTTCGGATTTTTTAAAAAATGATTTAAAATAAAATTTTGTTTTTTTTGTTATATTTTAAGTCCTTTCCTCCTTTTGGGTACTAAATAATTATTCTTTTAAAACATGCATACAGAGTAAGTAAAAAACAAGTAATAAGCACTACTAAAAAAGACGTGAAAACAGGAGACGGGCGGCCGGGAGCAATGACCGCTCCCGCCGTTGAATACCTTCCTGCCTACCTATCTAGGTATGCGCGGTGCACAGCGCAGTGAGCGAGCGGAGTCTCAAGCGCGCGCGCGTATCTTTGAAATTTGTGACAAGACAAGATTTGCAAGTAATGCCTTGATTAGTTCTTGTTCTGTGCCCTCAATATAAGAATTTGGATATGGTGTGTTGTTATTGCGAGTGTCACGGAATACTCAGCAGAGCCACAAGGCTTTACGAAAGTAGGTTTGGTGATTTATTGGGAAGTTATAGAGAAAAAAATTAATAGGTACATTGGTCTCGTAAGTACTTTTGAATACCTGGTAATAAATTTCATTCTGACCCAAGTATTGAACTGAAATAAGTATTTCTTTTTGTTTAACTTTTGCCTATTTCCAATCGTGACAAAATTATTATTAACTTTTTAAGTTTTTCTCTGCTTAAGAGAAGATGACATTTGTGCTTATTATTTCAATTTCAATAAAGGCATCTAAGACGATTTTATTGTATTGTGTGGAATCAAACGAGTCAGCTGAGCTCTGTGTACGTACCTACTCACTCAACGGCTGGCGGGCGCGGTCGGTCGTTGACCCGCGGTGGAATTTTACTGTTTTTCCGTTTTTTAGAAGTGCTTATTTATTAGTTGTTTTTCACTGGATATGTAAGCATGTTTGTTTAATATGAATAACTACTCAAAAGGAGGAAAGGACAAAAAGAAAACACAAATTATAAATAAATACATGAAAAAAAATACTTCAAAAAATCCGAAAAAAATCAGGCATACTCTATATTCGTAACCCAACAATCTCACGAAGTTTCATTAAAACATTCAATTTCACCCTATATAGATTAAATACCAATAATGTATGTCAGAAATAAGTAGGTAGGTACATTTGTTTATTATCTGTCGTGTTAAAGGACATGGCAAAATAATTCATAATATTGAACATTTTATGTTTAACACATAATGTCAAAGTAGGTAGGTATTCATTTAGTAATAATACCTATAAGCACTAGCAGCTCGTATATGTATTATAATAATTTGAACACAGGAACTGTAAAAAATGCAGGAGCTTTTGATATTGATTCAAGCAGCTGGTTGTAAGCCGGTGTTTTTACGTTATTTTATGTTTTAAACCATGACAGAGTAGGTAATTTTGGAGTAAAAATACCTATTTGTATATAAAGGCTCGTATATTATAACAAATTCGACTCGGGAACTGTAAAACTTATAACACCTTTTGTTATTGAGTCGGATAAACAGGCGGTTGTTGTCAACCGCCGTCTAAACGTTATTATCACCTACTTTGATATAATTATCTGATAACAACCGCTGTTTTACAACTATAACCGCGATAGACGACCATCGGCTAGGTGGTCGATCGCGGTCCCCACTTCACCCTGATTACACGGCGGCACGATAGACGCTAGGGGAATACTGGCGAAAGCGCGACTAATCCGCGGAAGATGCGCGACTCTTTTTTGGCTCGTATTTAGTTCGTATTTTATATGATTAAAATAAAGTTAATTACGCTATGCACAACATCATTGAAAAAATTCGCTTCTATTAAATTCCACATTGTACAAATTGAGCCGCCTAAGCCTACTAACGACATATATATGATATCGACTGTGGAAAAGCAGAATCGCTTATACACTACTTTGGTGCTGCTTAAAATTAACATTGAATAGAAAGTGAAATTAAGTTCATTTTTAAGCAACACCAAAGTGGGGTATAAGTGATTTTGCTTTAATCCTATCAATATCATTATTAAATCAACAACAACTAATAATAACAGCATATTTAATGAATGCACCACAAATACTGCAATTTATATGTCTTGAAATTATAAACCAACTAGGATGCTGTTACATGACCAAAGATAGTCACTTCATAAGAGCTGTGTGTAATACACACATTTCATTGAAAGCAAAATTAAAAGGAGATTGATCATTGGCACAAGTGGTTCGAGCATTAGGCTGTGATCGTTAAAAATAAGCTTAAATAACTTTCTCAAAGGTCAGTCATTGAATGGGTGACCAAAAATTTATTATCTCGAGCTTCGTTATACTTTGGAAGGTATATTAAGCCATTGGTCCCGGCAGCATCTGCAGTCATTAGCGCCCATTATCAATTGAAAATAGATCAGATTTATATCATAAACATGACAATAAAATTTTACCTGGTTGGTGTAGTGCCTTCTATTGGTTTAAAATAACATAGCTCCTGACGCATCGAGTCTACACTATCAGTTTCCATATTTTTAGTTTTAATGACATTTGTTTTATGTTGAAATATTCCAGTGCATGACAGTGGAAGTGATACAAGTAAGGACTGTGTCACATGTTTACTTTTAACATTTGTCTCTTCACTCTCAGATTTTTTTCCATTGATTAGAGATGGTTCTTTCTGCAAATGTCAGTATTTCAGTTGATATTTGAAATTAATTTATTAAATAAAAGAATACTTCATATACATAATATAAATCGCTAAAAGGATTTATATTATTATTAAATTAATAATAATAATACATTTTAATGAATGGTAAAAAGAAACATTATTAACCTGTGCTTGAACATTATCACCATTCTCTTTATTCCATACACCGGGACTATTCTTTGCTTTTTTATCTATAAAATGCTTTATAACTTTGCCATAAATGGGCACCATTTCAGGAGATGTTTCATTGATTAATTTCCCACATATTTTTCTTTGAGGAGAGGTACCAGTATCAATTGTTATGTCATCTGTCAATTCAGGGCTGCTGAAATGTCAATAATAATATACATAAATACCTAATAATAAAATCAATTACAGATAGAACTGGCATGATATCCACAAATCAATCATACCTAGCAGTCCAAATTGGAAATTAATTGCATACATTATAGCGCTGTTATGATATCTATTACAAGTTTATTTTATTTATTAATATACCTAGTTTGTTTATAGTTATTCAAGGTACTAACACCAACCATTCAAATAAAAAAAAGTTTAATGTTAGCTAGCAATAATAATTTACTTACTTTCTCAGTACAGTAGTGTGTGGTTTGGTGAGAAAAACATCAATCTTTGTAGATTTAAGCCTTCGTTTATTGATGCCATTCCTCAAATTGCTATTTGTGTTTGTGCTTTGAGGAACTGAAGTCTTGATGTGATCACTTTGCATTTGCAATGCCAATATTTCATCTTGTTTTAAAGCTTCTAAGTATTTCTTATGTGCCTCTTCTTCTTCTTTCCGAATTTTACTAAAAAATCAAATTGTTACGAATAAAGAACAGCAGAGCTGACAGAAAAATGTAATAATAATTAGTATTTGTGCTGTTTAGTGTTAAGAATACGGGACCATGGGGTCCAAGTGCTCATTCCTCATTTAAGGTATGTCTAAGAGACTCAACGAGGTGACTGGTGATCAAAAGGCTGGCAGCTACCTCGGTCAACGGACTAGCCTTGCTATCCAATGTGTAAACTATTTCATTGTACATAATAATTATAATTAATATAAAAAACTTACTGAATTAATATCTCAGTCTCTTTATAGTGTTTCTGTTCAATTTGCAAGCGCTCAGCTCGTAGTCGTTTAATTTCAGCTTCATATTCCAATCTAATTTCACCAGGTTCACTAAGTCTAGGCAATGGTGTCTCTGTAAATGTTATGAACACTTATAATACACACTATTTTGACCTGTAGTCAGTAGTGATGAAAAATTTTAATGCAAACCATTATAATCAAAATATACTTTGATTTTGATTAGTGTATATTTTTTAAGTCTTTACCTTCTATTATAATATTGTCGTATCCTTTAACTTTAATATCTATTTCATGAGAAAACTTAGACTTTATAAAGTTCCATAGTTCAACATTGACTAAATTCTTTTGTTTTGTTGCACTTCTAAGCCAAGAGCCTATACGTAGACGACATAGAGGACAACATAATGCATTATTTTCTACACTGCCATTAAAACAACCTTGACAAAAATCATGAAAACACGGTAAAGTTACGGGTTCTATCAAAATAGAGTGACAAATGGAACAAAAAACATCTTTTAATTCTAATTTATCCAATCTGAGAAGCTTATTTTCAATTTTGGACAGCCGCTTCTTTGACTTGGCCGCCATTTTTAAAATTAATGTTTTCTTGTTTCTTCTACTTAGTCTATGTTTGCTCCTTTTTTAAAGGCAGAGACATATTAGCGTGTCGTGTCGCGGTGACACGACAAGTCCTTCAAATGAAACCGATGCTTCTGGCGCGACACGTCACACCACGCCACGTTAATATGTTTCTGACTTTAATTTCCTCTTTTATGAATAGTGTTTTAAATTCCAACATTCAAGTCAGTCAATAAAATTCAGTAGTAATTTCTTTCTTTACTTTGCATGAATGTGACTCAGCACTGTCAGCTTCTGTGATGTTGATGTAGGACAACTATCGCATACTCTGAATAATCTACTACTATCTATAAAATCTCTATTTAAGGCCTGTTTTTGATAACAGTCTTTCTTATTTAATTTAGGAGGACCACAAGGATAAACACTGGATAAAGTGCCTTCTTTATCCAGTGTTTAATTAATTAAATTAAATCCATTAAGGGGAAGGCCCAAGGCTCCAAGGCTTAAAAGTCCATTAACCAAGCCAAAAATATTGGAAAAAAATACTACTTACCATAGACAAATTTTAACAGTAATGCCAAAATGGCCAAAACACCGGACGTAGAAGCCATGTTTATTTCAATCCGAGGGATGCGAATTTTATTAACTTTAATCGATTATAGCTTCATTTATCTTTAAGTCGTATAAAAAATTTAGCTACTCAAAAGTCAACGAGCCCTAACCGTGTGATATCAAATTTCAGGACAATTGATGGCATTATGAACAAAATACGATGCATGCTGCATGTATCCCAATTTGAAAAATAATTTCTAAAACAAGAGTTAAGAATAAATGTTACTAGAAAGAATGCTTCTATGTGAGGTCATACTAATATAATCATTTTAATAATTTATATTCATTTGACTTTTAAATAGCTAAGTTTAATCTTCGTCGGTCAATAAGGGCTATATAGTTATGATAATAGACTTATTAAATAGATTTTTGAAGTGAAACTTCTTTAGGCACGCTTTACTTGGGGGGTAAACTGGCGAATGTGTGACGATTTTTGCGTTACACGCGCACCGGTGACTCATCGGTAAACAATGAACAATACCCGGCAAAAAATACATGAATCTAGTGCTTGGTGGGTGATAACGGACCCAGCGCGGATTGTTGGGTGATAAAGGACCCAGCGCGGATTGGTGGATGACAATGGATCCAGTGCGGATTGGTTTTTGATAACGGACACAGCGTGAATTGGTGGGCAATAACAGACCCTGTGCGGATTGGTGGATGATAACGGACCCAGCGCGGATTGATGGGTGATAACGGGCCCAGTGCAGATTGGTAGGTGATAATGGACCCAGCGCGGATTGGTGGGTGACAATGGACCCAGTGCGGTTTGGTGCGTGATAACGGACCCAGCGTCGATTGGTGGATGATAACGGACCTAGCGCGAATTTGTTGGTGATAATGGACCCAGTGCAGATTGGTGGGTGATAACAGACTGAGCGCGGATTGGTGGGTAACAATGGACCCAGTGCGGTTTGGTGCGTGATAATGGACCCAGCGTCGATTGGTGGATGATAACGGACCTAGCGCGAATTTGTTGGTGATAATGGACCCAGTGCAGATTGGTGGGTGATAACAGACTGAGCGCGGATTGGTGGGTAACAATGGACCCAGTGCGGTTTGGTGCGTGATAACGGACCCAGCGTGGATTGGTGGATGATAATGGACCCAGCTCTGCGATAAAATTCTGTATACACCGTTAATTTGAGTTACCTGAGGAACTTAACCGGCTAATTAGGAAATGAAATTAGATTATATAAATTCTCGGGTAATTCAAACTTTACGGTGTATAGTTCTATTTATATTTAAATAAGAACTAAGATTATAAATTTCTCAAATTTGTATTATTTTTATCATAGTTGAATTTACTAAATTTAATTGATTTGAGTGCCTTGTTCCCATTTTTATTTTAAGATAGTTATAGTAACTACATAAAAAAAACCTCTAATATCGATTTGCCATATCGATATTCTTTGTCACCTCTAATTTTTCGTCGTGTACCGACTCTAGTAACACTCACATGTTATTTGATTGAGAACGAGAAAGAAACGATCAAGAAAGAAACCACGAGAAATATGGTGGTTACAAAAGCATTTGTAATGGTGTTCAACTTAAAAATCTAGTTGAAAGTGTGGTGAAATTTGCCAGATGTTTAAATATCTTTTCTGAATCCTTTGCAAGCTTAGAAGAGGACATCGAAAATGTCTTCAATGCATTTTGTCGTTCATCCATTACCTGGAACAGAGGATCAATTGATAGATAGGTAATGTATTTTACCACTTAGCATGGCTCCATTTCGTTGTTATGAAATACGACAACGAAATTTTTTCATGACTAATATGACTTCAAAGTTTTTTCGTGGAATCTGCTCTGTCGGGCCACGTTTTTATCTCGAAGGAAATATTTTCATGATACAATATGTCGAACTCTTTGAATTCGTACTGTTGGAAAACTTGTGAAAAGATGTCGTCATTGTATTATACCTAGAGCCAGGCATAAGCTTTTTAAGTTATGGCACAAATGTTAATGTACCTCATTATTATATTCTATATTTTCTAAGGTAATTTATTTATTATTGTCATAAACAAAAATTATATGCGTAATTTAGAGAAATAACCATGATATTGTGACTCAAAATATCAGTTTATATTGTGATTTTTAATTGACAATTATCTCATACCTCTCTTTAGTCTGAAAAGGAAAGAAATACATAGAATGCACCTACTTTAAATGTTCTAGTAGAGGTTTTAAAAGTTCATTAATGGTGTAGATAGGGCATATTGGAACATGATGCTGCACCTTCAATCTGGCAAACTTTTACTATAATTTCCAGACAACATCTTATGTCAACCAGTGCCTAATGCCAGTATATAAATGCCTATAAATATATTAAACTTTGTAATATTTCATATGCGATTTGTGTTTGATTTTAAAAGTCAAAAGAGATGATAGGTCACTGAAGATTATCGAAATGAAACACCAACCTCACCAGGGCTAACATCTTACAGCCAAATAACACTAGTTTCTTGCATTTCATTTATGAGCCCTTTTACATTTTTTGAATTTTTGAGTGCCTCATTTACCCCTTTGAAAAGATTTTGACTATTTCCAATAGAAGTAAACAGTAGATTTATTCTTTCTATTGTAAGTTAATGTAGAATATTTGCAAATACTATTTTCCTTTTTTTCTACTGCAGTTATGGAAAAAACAATAATATGTATAACTTCAAACGCCTCAATCTCTCAATAATGTTTAATAAATTAGATCAAATTAATTACTATGATATCAGAAATATGTTTTATTGTAACATAATGTATTAGAATTTTTATTTTCCATCTCGTTAATTATCAAAAAAACATCTAACCTCCGTGAGTTTTCCCAAAAAAAATGCAGGTGTACCTTGTATTTTGATATTGAATTAAATAGAATTACCATCAAAAACTTTCATAAAACTAATCTACCATCAATGAACTACTGAAATCACACTAATATTATAAAGGCGAAAGTTTGATAGTATGTGAGTGTGTATGTTTGTTACTTCTTCACGTCAAAAGGTTAGAGCGATTTTAATAAAATTTGGTATGGAGTTAGCTGACACCCTAGATTAACACATAGGCTACTTTTATCCCGAAAAAATGTTAGGTTGCCATAATAAACCGCGGGTTACAACGCGGGGCGCAGCTAGTATGTATATATTTTTATAATTAGTTCATTATTAATTATTTTATAAGACTCGAAACATCACCTGCAAAATGCAATATATACCAGTGCAATTCTACCTACGCGCCGATCAGTATGGTAGCGGCGCAATTTTGTAAAAGGGCTCTTAATGTAGTATAACTTTAATCATACCCTCATATCATCATATAATATAGGCGGTAACCAAGGAGAAACGGGAGAATCTTGTCATTGAGCTCAATCAGGCTTTGGACCACATTTCTGTATGGGGTACCAAGAACTTGGTTGAGTTCAATGCTAAGAAAACCCAGGTTTGTGCTTTCATGGCAAAAACATCGCCATTCCTTTTATGTCCTTCTCTTCAGGGCACAACACTGGAGCTAGAGAGCAGTATCACCATGCTCGGTATGGAGATTCGCTGTGACTTAAATCCAAAGAATTACATTGAAAGTGTGATGAAAACAGCCTCACGCAAACTCGGAGTCCTGAACAAGGTGCGGCGTTTTTTCACGCCCGAGCAACTGTGCTTGTTGTATAAGACGCAGGTGCGGTCTTGCGTGGAATATTGCTCGCACCTCTGGGATGGCTCCGCTAAGTACTTGCTCGATGCTTTGGATAGGTTACAGCGGCGCGCAATCCGCATCATAGGCGATGAGGAGGTGACTAAACACCTCGAGCCTCTTCAATTACGCCGTGACGTGGCATCACTAAGCGCGTTCTATCGCCTGTACCACGGCGAGTGTTCTGAGGAGTTATTCTCTCTTATTCCACCTTCCCCTTTCCTTCAGAGGACCACGCGCGCTGGCTTACGTTGTCACCGTCTAACTGTGGCTACAATTCCAACGCGTACAAAGAAATTTGATGACTCATTTCTTTGACGTACTATCCGTAAATGGAATGCTCTGCCCGCTCACGTGTTCCCTCCCTCTTACAACCTGGGATCCTTTAAAAGAGGCGTGAAGAAGCAACTTGCAGGCCGGCAGGGTGAGGATGGCTGGTGTGGCAGTTAGAACTGCTGTATCAGCTATCTTCGCGTCTGGACTTCACCTTCATTTAACATCAGGTGGGGTGGAGTCATTTGTCGGATCTATCTATAAAAAAAAAAAAAAATGAGCTCATAACATCAGCACAAGGGTTATAATTTTTATTTTGTCACCTAATAATAACAGATGGTTTGAACACATGGACAGAAAGGAATAAAGATGATTTTGTTTAAGTCTTAGATAAATGATTGGTTGGTGGATGAAGGGAGCTTCAATCAACTAGATACTGCACTGCCTTAAAACAACAGATCCGTGAATATGGCAACTCATTATTGAAGTGTGTATATGACAATGCAAGGATGCTATTGTGTGTGAAGAATTGTGTAGCCAGTTGATCAACTGTTGCTCAAGTAGTAAGAAAATTATTTTATGCAGTGGTCCATTGGTTAAAAATGTAGTTTATTATAATTAATATGTGTTATTTCACTATATAAACTGGCATTTTTCTTTGATCATGACCAAATTTTAATAAAACATTTGGTAAATACACCTCATACACAACTGTTAGTGTGACTAGTTTGGTGAAAGCTCAGGTACACTGACTGTTGCCAGTTGACTGCAGGGAGACCAATCATTTATCTATGTTTAAAGCCTTATCTTTTTATTTTAACCACACTTGTTTCAATATAATGTCAACATGTCTGTAATTTTCATATGTTATGTTTTTTCCAAGTTTCATGTTTGACTGACATAATGTAAAAGGTTTGATAGGACATAATACATGTATTTAATGTTTCTGAATTGGCAGAGAAAGAAGAAGAGTTTGCCTTTGTTGGTATCTTAGGTTTTTATGATTTCTTTTTAAGACAGTATTACTGCCATTCTACTCACTGGTCATGGTCATGCATGCATCTTTTATTTTCTTATTGATCATGAAACTGATACCTCCCACACCTTTGCTTCCACCTTCTTTATTGTAGAGCATGTTACCTGATGGTAGTGTAACAAGTAGTTTGCCATTTCATCTAATCTCACATAGTTCCAGAATGTCCCACTTAATGTGCAGCAGCTCAGTCTCGAGTTCCATAAGTCTATCATTTGTGGACAGAGTTTGTATGTTATGTTATGCCACGTAAAGTTGTCCATTGCAGCTTAGTGTCACCTGGCTGCTGCTGAAGCCAGGGAGTGACAGAGCACTGGGAACTCGGGGTCGATTTTTGTTTTTGTCTGTCATGGTTGAGGAGGGGTATTTAGCCAATAATCACCACGCCAGCAACGGCGGGGTGGTGATCGCAGTTCAACGACCGGGTCCGACAGATTCCATCACTGCTCAAAGATATTCACTTCCACAGCCGAGTACTTCCTTCTGAAGTCCGCCTGATGTAACGCAAGCAGATTGCTTCCTCTGCTAAGGCAATGCACTTATTTAATGGCGGTGCAAACTCGCCATGCCACAGAGCCATCATTAGGTATTGTAGTTTTTCCATGGAGATGCTCATGACACAGAACATCCCGCCACACCTTCCGTGCCCTGCCGCCTCGGTAAGGGACTGCTTATTTGGGGGAGGTTTCCTTATTCGCAGCCATCCTACATACTATAGGATGTATCACTATCCACCACCTGTGACCCGTCAAGTAGCTGAGGCTCGCCCATGATATATACAAAAATGAAATTTTCAGCTAAATACACACTTACTATTATACAGGTACAGTAGAACCCGTTTAATACGATCACCCTTAATACGATTTCTCGCATAATACTCCATTTTACGTCAGTCTTTGCAATTTGAGACATGTTTTCATACAGTTCTTAACGCTATATACGATTCGTCATCCCGTTTAATACGCCTAAATCGCCAACACGTACCACACATATTACCTCTTGCGGCGGCATAAAATTCAATGAGAATGTGAATAACACACAAGAAGAGGCCCTAAGTGATAGTTTACTTTAGTTTTTCAGGCGGTTTCCGCACTTAGTCGCAATGGTCCACACATGAGACACGCACAATGGTGCGTGTCTCAAAAACATTCCAGTTTACTCCAGCCAGCCTTTATTGGTCCAGAAGGAAAGCAGCCTTGGTACACTGCTGCAAGCTTCCGGAAGCAATTCTGGCTACTAGAGAAGTCGTGCCCGTTGGTCGGCCACGCTCCTGCATTCCATGATGACATACTGTGGCGTTTCTTCTGCCTCCATGCATTCTCTGCATAGGGGTCTGTTATTCCTATTGTATATAGGTGTTTGTTTAGGGGACAATGACCAGCAGGGTTCTTATCATCTTGCGAAGTTTGTCCCGAGTTTGGGTCCCGTGAAAAGTCCCAAATGCGTTTAGGCTGGAGAGAGGAGTCCGCCAGGGTGACACTATATCGTCGAAATTATTCAACGCTGCGCTCGAAAACATCTTTAAGAAGCTAGATAGGACAATCAAAGGGATAATAATCGATGGAGGGAGGCTAAACAACCTGCGATTCGCCGACGATAATGCGCTGATCAGCGATATCCTCGAAGATATGATTGATATGGTTGACCAACTACAACGTGAATATAGGTCTAAAACCTGTCGAAAACCAAGATCAGGACGAATATAGAAAACGCGAAAAATCACATTCTACCTGTAGAATTGGTCAACCATTACATCTATGCCATAAAATTACTGTTGGTTCCGAGGATCATATTGTCGAAATAGGAAGACGCACCGGGCAAGCCTGGGCAGCTTTCGGGGCAAACAACAATGTTCTGCGCTCCAGAAAAATTTCTCAACACCTAAGGACCAAGGTGTTCAATCAGTGTGTTCTGCTGGTCTTCGTGTATGGGATGGACACCACGAAGCTGACAGAATAATCTGCTGCGAGACTCCTGGTTGCACAACGAGCAATAGAGAGACATGCTTGGCGTTTCTCTACAAGATGACGAGAGAAATGAGTGGATTAGAGAAAGCACAGAGGTTAGTGACATGTGGGAAGATATTGAGAGACGTAAATGGAGAGGGGCAGGAAATATTGCACGGATGAACCACGATCGCTGGGCCACGAGGACCCTAGAGTGGAGACCCCGCAATGACACCCGCGGCAGAGGAAGACCACCTAAGAGATGGACAGAGGACATCCGGCAACAGGCTGGAATTAACTGGATGCAAGTAGCTAGGGACAGAAGTCAGTGGAAAGTTGAAGAGGAGGCCTATGTTCGAAGACGAACCCAAAGGCTGGCATAGACAGATCGCTTGCATTCCATATTTATTCTGTTATTTCTTTGTGTGATCTAGTGATGATCTAGTACAAATCCGATCTTTTTAGACTGAACAAACTAAAAATTAAAACATATCCTTTAAGACGAAATATATGACGTTATTTTTATTATAACTAATAATTTATTTTGTTTTAGGCTTAAAGAAGTTGCTGAACGTTGGAATAGATATGGAACAGGAGCTGGATCTTCAGCACTCGGCCAACTCAGGGGAGTAAGAGCCGTCGCCGCCGGCCCGGCTCACATTGCTTGCCTGCTTGAGGATGGCACCATCTGCCGTGCTGCTTTCTCAATCATACCCGACCGACTGGATCTAAGCAAAGCTGACGCTACTAAGAACGGGGGAAATGGAGGCGGGGGTAGTGGTGGGGGTGGCACCGGAGGAGGCAAGCAAGGCGGTGGTGGTGGCGGCTGTGGATCACGTCAGCAACCACGAACTAGAGCTCGTATTATGAGGAATTCGATTCGCGCTGCTCCTAGTTCACAAGGTAATCATGAAAATTTTTGTGTGTTAAATGCTAAACATGATGTACTTAAATACTACAGAATATTAATTGGAAATGACAATTGGTGAAATTTCAGGAGTAATTTCGGAAGATGTTTGTTGTAACCAAATTTTTAAATACTTAAAATAATAATAGTATTTTTTTATAAGTGTAAAAAAAATCGAGTTTTTTTTTATTCAGATACTCTAGAAATATTTATTGACTGAGTAGTCACCTGTTCTATTATATTTGTTTTTTCAGATTTAAGCTCTTGTGTATGTTAAGCCAATGTGTAAAAGGCCAGAAAGCAATGGATGTGTTTGTTCACAAAGCAAGACGTATTTGGTTTTTGACACCACCAAAGTTGACAATTATAAAATTCCTAACATAAATGTCTTAGTTTTATTTTGTGCTGTGCATAGTGAGATCTTATGGTTTTTTTTTATGAAAGTTTTATGCTTTAGACTGACTCCTACTAACCAAGCGTAATGATAAAAGGGATAGCTGAACGAAAGAAGCAAGTGGTCATAATTCTATGACCAATTGGTTCAATATATATTCATATAATGTGTTGAAATTGTGCCTTTATACAATGCTTCTAACTGTAGGATCTACCAGCAGAGCGACAGGTGTTATAATCGGAGCATCAGGTTCAGGGAGGGTGGTGTCTGTTCCTGCTCCATTTGTACCAGAAGACCTGGTGACACAAGCACAAGTCGTGCTTCAAGGCAAAAGTCGAAGTCTTATAATCAGGGAATTACAGGTAATTAATATTTTGTTCATAACAGTTCATTTCTACTTGAATAATTGACAAATATAGCCAATACTGATCAGACTACAAATATATGTATGATGTTTTTAAATGTTGTTTTGCCTTTGTGATGACTGTTAAGATTTTAAATAATATATACTACTTAATAAAGGTGAACAATGAATATTAGGTACCTAGTACGAAAAAGTAGATTCGCTCTTGCATGCACGAAATGTTTACTGGCCTTATCATCATCATTAGCCTATTAATGTCCCCGCTGCTGAGGCACAGGCCTTCCCTGTGGATGGAATAGGGCGATTGAGCCATGACCCACCACGCGGGCCCAGTGAGGATTGGTGGGTGCTAACGACTGCAGATGCATCCGGGACCAACTTATTAACGTACCTACCGAAGCACGGAGGAGCTCGAGTTAGTAAATTTTTGGTCACCCATCCAATAACCGACCACAGCGAAAGTTGATTAACTTCGTAGTCGAACGTGCTAACTACTTGCGCCATCGAGCTACTCTGTCCTGTGTACTGTCCTTATACATAGAGCATAATTGTATCAAAGAGGCGCGTAAGATATAAGAAGCGTAAAATAAATAAATATTGGCTTTACTTACCTTAATATTCGAATTCTAATTGATGTAGCGTACGAATTTGGACGTAAATTTGGCGGTGAACAATTTGCTGTCGCGCGATGACGAAGAAGGGGAGGAGCCGGAGGGCGGCGAGGGTGGTGACGGCTACGTGCCCGAGGACCTGATCTCGTTGCTGGACGGCGGCTTCCACGCCGCGCAGCAGGACCACTCTGTCATCATTGATGCCGACGCCATGTTCTCCGAGGACATCTTCGGGTACGCGGCTATCAGAAGGTATACCTGTCAAGCTACGCTCCTCCGCCTATACTCCTACGTCCATAGAAACAAAAACACTCCGCAACCCAATCTCTAGCACGCTGTTGAGCTTACGCAGTTTCTGTTTTTAGTTTTCTGTGATTGGGTGTCTTTTTTTTCTTTTCGTAATAGTAGATCTGTAGGTTGATGTTCATTATTTATCAGGTGTAAAAAGACCATCAATAATGACTTGCAATATATTATCAATTTTATGACCTTTTACCTCGATTAAATAATTATGTATGCACATTATTTCCACTGTCTACAATGAAATAACTTGGTAACACTTTTTTGCAATAATATAAAATTTAGATACTTCAAATGTTTGAATATTGTGCATTCAAGTAAATGTGAGCATTATTTTGTCGTAGCTGTTTTCTTAGTCTGTATTAAAGTTAGTCTTTCATTTTGCATCTACTTGAGGTAAAAGTCTTACGGCCATCACTATAAGTTTTAACATTAAAAAAGATGCTTTTTTTTGTCCAACTCATATGCAAATTAAACGGTCCTGACTCTAAAGACAAGTAAACATTTTTGCAGTAAACTTGTGCTAGGCGGTCTATGGTCTTTTTACACCTCATATTCGAACGATACTGACTGTATCGTGTGTAGCCGCAGTGGCGGCGGCGGCGGTAGTAGCACCGGCCGCGGGGGCGCGAGTCGAGAAAGCAGCAGCTCCACTCAAGAGCGACCCTCTGAGTTCAGTAGATGGCGTGAGCGTCAATACTTTGGCCCGCGCAGATGGCTTGAGTCTGCCCTCCGCGACACTTCTTGGGACAAAGATGGAGGTAAGTAACAATACCATGTAATACTTTTTTATATGACACGAAAGTTTAAGTATTTATTACAGTTGGTAACTACTCTTACCCATTACTTAATATTATGTTTATAAAATTCAAAAAAATAATTGAGCTTATTTATGATATGTAATGGCGCCTTTGAGCATTATTTCTAAAATACAATGTTATTCTGGTAGCTGAGAGTAAAAAGAAGGATTCTGCAATGGCGGCATCCCCTCTCTGGGTTTCTGATGAGTTGGAGTATTGGGACAGCAATATTCGCTTCACTCACATTGCGGCTACATACTCTGAACTGGTGGCCGTGTCCACGCAGGGTCAGTTGCACCAGTGGCGTTGGGCAGACGCTCACGCTTACCAGCGTACTGACGTGAGTAACATTTTTTATGAGTATTTATTAGATTAGTGAAATATAATCAGCCATATTAAATACCATGATTAACAACTAACTATTCGTGATGTTGTATAACTATTAATAACAACACGAACAAAATCGTGGCCAAAACCTGTCCAAAGCTCAGCTCCGTAAGATGATCGCGTTTTCAAAAAGGCATTATTTAAACATTGAAAATCTAATAGAGATGTTAAATATACTTCTTCTATATAAGGACTATTTGGGAGATTGACCTTAACAGTGATAGAAAAAAACAAAAGCACCTTTTTAAATGATACGCCCTTGAAATTTTATACAATACAATATTGATCCTGTATTGCTGTATAGACGACTGGTACAAACCACCTGTACCATCCGCGCGCCAATTGGCTGGGACTGGCGCTCGGCGAGCGTATTGTGAACATCAGCGCTGCCGGCATCCGCGTCTCCGTGCTCACTGACGCGGGACGCGTAGCCACCTATCTCGACGAGTCTATTGGTAAGTTGGCAACTGTCTTTTGTTTAATTTTAATGGCCTGCGCAGATGAGGCCGAACACTTGTTACGGACTCAACGCACATGAATTTTGGCAGTTCCGTAATCGTATTGCATCGTCGAATATTCTATGAAAACTAAGCAGTGCCCCTGTTGTACGTAAAAACCAACTGGCTTCTTCCATTTAAAATTTGACGATACGATTACGGAGCTATCAAAATTCGCTCTTGGGCTTCTGTACTAAAACAATGAGTTAGAGAAATCTGTTTATTTTTTTCAATACATTTGCTCGAAAAATTTAATTTACGAAAGTTGTATACATTGGTCGAAAGTGCAAAATTACGGGCCGCACACTCCCATACATGGCGCCGTGAGTATCCTTTACGTTTAATTTCGGTCGAACCTCCTTGGATGCGCTTTTAATCATATCTTTGTCTCACTTTAATGTTAAAAGAAAAAGAGCGTCTACTCGTTTATAATAACCAACTTACCGCACTAATATCATAAATATCTATTACAGCGTTAGCAACGACCTTATGCGTCATGTTATCCCAGGTATTACAAGTAAAGAATATGATATTAAAACATTACATTAAATGTCAAGTAGGTACACGGTCAGTGAATAAAAATTGAGTACTAGTTTAGGTACATTTCAAGAGTGTGCAAAACCACCTAAAAAAAATACTTTTACGCCGCCTTATCATTAAATTATGTACCGCCAGCCCGCCACTGTATTTGAAGACTATTTAGGAAAACAAAAAAAATGCATTATAGTAATATAAGTTATTTACGGGATTGTTACCATGTACCTTGTTTTTAGCGAGTTTCCGATATTTCGGCACTGTTGCAAGCGCCATGATCACGGAGTAACTGAAAAAAAAAAAAAAAAAAAAAAAAAAAAAATGCATGCGGAACCCAAAGTGTATTTTTTCAAAAAGTGCTATATTCTGCTGTTTGCCTGGTGTTTTCAAAGACTAATAGTACAGTCAGTTGGCAGTTTTACCTGGAAAGTTTTCCGGGAGTTTTGAAAATTGGTAATTTTATATATTTGGTGGTGCTCTTTCCTAATTTTGACTTTGCCACCTCGTATTTTTGCCGCTCGCGCTGCCATATTGGAAAAATGACGCCTAAAAGCAGTTTTTTGATCCGACAGCCTTTCTGCACCCACAAGCTTTCAGATATCCTTTTTAACACAGGAATGGACAACACGTCATCCTTTTTAACGACAGGAATTAGCCCATTCTTGTTTTTTTTTCCACCCCCATTGCTCTGCATTTTCTTCACTACCATACCACTGCTGAACCTGGTGGTAAGTTTGGAACGAATGTTGTCGTGCTGCTGCTTCTGTTTGAGTCTGTAGAGAATAATGAGTAATGACCAAAGCGCGCGTTGGAGTACACTTTGCAGCGCTCGTACGCCAAAACTATTGACTTTATGAAAAAAAAAGGTGGATACATAATTTGTAGGCAATTGTCTCTAGTTTTATTTTGTATATAACTGTTTTTATCGTAATTTGAGTCGAAAAGGAGATTGTCAAAAACTGATTTTAGGTGCCATATTTCCAATTTGGCGGCGCGAGCGGCAAACATACGAGGTGGCAAAGTCGAAATTCAGAAAGAGCACCTCAAAATTTATAAAATTACCAATTTTCAGAACTCCCGGAAAACTCTCCAGGTAACCACTATATTTCTCACCAAATGACTGTACTATAAACAGTAACAGATCTGGCTAATTAGACATAATCATGCGATTCGACGTTGAATTTGCCATTGATTTAAAGCTAGTTATGTAATAAGCGAACTTCATATTACTTACAATTAATTGGAATTAAATAAAAATATACATTATCAACAAGCAAAAGAAGTTTAAAAATCTGTAACCCGACTTCGGAAAAAAAACAAGATAAGAAAGGAATGAAATCAATTAATATAATTGTGATTTCCGACGACGAAGTCAAAAGGAAGGTTTATCATTTTAGCATTGTATGTACATACATATATAACTGTATGTATAAATTTACTTATTCCTCTGTACCGTTAAAGATTTTATCTATTTTTAATGCATAAGGTGTCTATTGATTCTTTACAATGACCTCGGTAATACCAGTTATATTTTAACATACTTTAATAAATAAGAGGAGCCTTGTAATTGATCATTCCTTTCTTTTTTTCATGGTTGGTTTACACTTTTATAATCTTTTTTTTACTTGTTACATCTGTTATGGAAGCGAAGGAAAGCAAATTCCACTAGTCTAAGCTGCAGTGGGGCCCACATATTGATGGATTGTCGAAGAGACTTAGTTCTGCAGCATATGCTGTAATGAAAATACGGCAGTTAACGGATATAGAAACTGCCAGATTAGTCTACTTTAGTTATTTTCATAGTGTAATGTCTTACGGTATTTTACTGTGGGGAAATGCCGCCGACATTCAAACTATATTTGTGCTGCAGAAGAGGGCTATTCGATCAATTTATAATCTTAAAGTTAAGGATTCATTAAGAGATAAGTTTAAAGAAATAGGTATATTGACAGTTGCATCATAATACATATATGACAACTTAGTATTTGTAAAAAAAAATATTAATTTGTTTACTAAAAATAGTGAAATACATACATATAATACTAGAAATAAAAATAACTTAACTTTACCTGCTACTAGGCTCCACAAAATCAGTAATTCGTTTAGAGGTCTAAGTGTTCGCTTTTACAATAAAGTTCCAAGCAATATTCAAGACTTAAGCATGACTTAATTTAAATCGACCATTAAAAAATCACTAGTTAAGAAAGCATATTATAAAGTGTCTGATTATATTACAGACAAAAATGCTTGGGTATGAACTGTTCCAACCATTCCAACGGGTATTTCATATAATTTAAATTATGAATTATGTGTTGACAATACTATAATTAAATTGAAAGCTGTATATAAAGTTGATAACTTAATGAAGATTATCAGACTGTTTAAGAATATTTGTTTGACAAAACGGCGTGGTCGTGATTTCTCCTTTGCTTTGTTTTTGTAATTGTTTGTTGTGTCTTACAGGTAAATGACCTTAATTTAAGTAAATATGTTGTATTTAGTATGGGTAGTTATGGGCAGTCATGCTCTCATATTAGTCTCTTCGGCGGTGTCGTGTGAGGCGGGTTGTTACGTTCCCTAAAATATGGTTGAGCGAAGCGATGGCTGGTTCATGCGTCATGCTCGTTAACGGGTGCTGCCAGCGGAGATGAGTCTGCCCTAACTTCCTTAATATTGAAGTTAATGTTTAGTCACACTGAATATAAATAACACTGTTTGTATTTATACTGTATGACACAGCAATCAAAATGCAGGTAAACAATTAATGTATATTTAATAATTATGTAATGAAAAGTGACTTCATGAATCAGCTCTGAAGTCATTTTTCAATTTGACGACTCTGTAAATAATAAAACAGGGAGAAAAAAACAGCCCTTGCTGAGTTTCTTGCCGGTTCTTCTCAGTACAAGGTCTCCCGCCGTAGATTTACGAACCGATGGCATAGCTTCTAGACATTCATGAGTGCTTGTAACAGCCTAAACTGAATAAATGATTTTGATTATGATTATGATAGTTTATGATTTAAATGTCAATTTTGGGTTGAATGACATTAACGACTGATTACAAGAGATTTGGGACATTTTTATTATGATTTTAGAAAATATAATAGTAAATAGAAGAGTAAATGTCCAAGAATGGACCTCTGCGGTACTCTGCATGAAATCATTTCGGTTCACTCATATATTCACCTATTTTAGTGATTTGCTACCTAATGCTTAAGTACGATTGTTCTGTAAACTATATAAATGCAAATAAAGATTTTTAAAATTATTATGTTGTTACGCATTCCAGCCATGAGTCAATGGACTCGGCCCTTATTATTATTATTAAATTAGAATTTTGTTTCAGCACACGCCCCTGGCGCGCCTCGTTTGGAGCACCCGCTGCAGACATTCTCCGAGTTTGGATCTGACAAGCCCTTATCATTGCACGTATGCTCTCTCTACACAGTTGCAAGACTAGAATCCGGCGCATTGTACTGGTGGTAAGTTGATAAAAAATATGTGCTACATATATTATTTAAGTCATCGAATTGTATTTGTTATATACATGGCAACTTAAAGACCTGTGTATTTTATTGCATATTAATATTTTATGCTCAGTTTGTGGTTTTGTCATCTATATATTGTTTTAAACTTTCATGGTCACTAACATTATAGGATTATAAGTTATTTACGGGATCTTTTACCTTTACTTTCTCATCTATTCTGTTTGGCTTGGAAAAAAGTTTTGGTTTAGTAATGGCATACAATTTATGGTGATGCATTCATACAGTATATCTCCAATGTTTTATTTTAATGATCTTTTGATTATTTGGTTTTAATATTAATAAGATCATAATTTGGAGTCTAAACTTGCGCCACTCTTAGTTTGCGCCGATACTAAACAAAATGTATTAAAAAACTCGACCGCAGCTTGTGGACGTATTTAGTGGCTCAATGTGCGCTTGCTGTTAAAGTGCGTGTTATACTGTTTATTTTTCGTATATATAGGGGCGTACTACCCTTGGGGCAACGCGCCCGCCTATGGGAGAAGCACCGCGCGCGCTCACGCAAACAACAGCGCGGCCACTCGTCGGCCACGCCGCAAGACCTGCAGGCTGGCCAGAGCGTCACCATGAAGAACGCGCCCATGTACCAACCGGGCGCCGTTGGTGAGCAATATAATATTTAACTTTATATTAAAAAAGAATCTCTATTTCCCTTGGTCACGCCGTAACTTAGGAACGACTTCACTGATTTTAACCAATATTTTTCTTACTTATTATTTTTAAGGTCCTTATAAAAAAAATGCGCAGTTATTAATGACGTCCTCATTAACTTTACTTCTGCGCGAATTTCATTTTCAAAAGGAAGCATGGATAAGCAAGTTTGTTAATGCAAAGGAGCCCTGAAATTAGTACATTTTGTAACCTAAAACCGGAACGATTTTGCACGTTACACATAAACTTATGCAGGAATCGAATTTTATAGTGAGGCAATAAAAAAATAATCATATTTTTTCTATATTTTTTGTCTTCTTACAAGGTAAGCCATTCCGCTTTCCGAATTGTTAAAATATTAAACAGCTGAATTGTGTATAAATTGTAGGTTTCAACATGTCGACCGGAGTACCGAAAGTGGGCATCTTACAGAACGCGGCGTGGAACTTGTCCGACATGTGCCGCTTCAAACTGTTGCCGCCTCCGCAGCCCGATCGCTCTGTCTCCGACAAGGACAAGAGAGATTTACAGGTATATAAATTACTACATACATAAAAGAACATTGTGATAAACTCTTGTTTGATATTTTTATCATTTAAATTTAAAGAAAATATTACTAGAATAAATTCCACGCGGACCAGGCAGCAGACAATGCAATATTAATATTTTCTTTAGATTTAAACATCAAGCAGTAACATGCTTGAAAATATTTTTTTAACTATAATTTCTATTTTTTCTTTCAAATGTTAAATACTAGTCCAGTCAGTCAAGACAATTAATTCATTATAATTCCAAAAGTTTTCAAATTTTGATGTAAGGTCGGGAATGGTATTAAAACAAACTATAAAATTTTGCAACCTGTTCTGCGGTCCGGAACATTGTTAAAAATGCAATAAATGATAATTTGCTCAGTTCTTGAGACCAAAATTCCAAAAGTTCTGCAAAGTTGGAGTGGTGTTAAATATATTATTTTACATCACGTGTCTAATTTGCAACCAATTTAAGTGTACGGAACATTTTTTGTTATTAAAAATTAATGTTTTTCTTTATTAAACTGAAGGAAAACGTTCCAAAAGTTCTGCAAATTTGACAGATATATCGGAAAAATATACCAAACGATTGTATAAATTTGCGACCTTTTACGTTGACCGGAACATGTTTATTTATAATTATTTTTAATTCGTGGTCATTTTTTCGAGTAAGGTGGTCTCGGAATAATTACAAAAGTTTTGAAACTTGGTTGCAAACTTCGAAAACATCTATTCTGATGCATTTGCAACCTCATACGCGATCCGGGACTTTATGCAATTTGCAAAAATGTATTTTTTTTATTTTTTCACCTTCAAGATAATTTCAAAAGTTCTGCAAATCGAGGGGACTGTTTAATTTTGGGATTAATGTCAGTATTTGAATTTGCAACCATATCCGGAAAACGGAAATATTTTTTAATCACATTCACGCAAAATATTATTTCCGTACACATCGCTGTTATATATTCAGGGCCTAATATAAACTTTGTGCTATACGAAGCCGCCGCGACGTCGTATACCTGCGTTGCTATGGTATTGTTACGTGTCGGGATGGGGTTCGAATTTATATGCCAGTTAACGCTTGACAGTTCTTTATTTACCACTCAGTTCATCAATCAACACACAAAGTTAATTATCAACACACTCACTAAACACTGTATTTCACTATACAAGTCACTAAACAATCTCACTTGAACACTTTTGTTGCACTTGGATCGCCTTTGGATTCGCTCCGAAATCGCTGTTGAAACTCAACTGTCTCTGCGCGGCGCCAATCGCGCTTATATACGCCGATCGACGCATTCTAGAAAGTACCTGTTAAATTGAGAATTACCTAGCACCCGCGAGTACGAAATACCTACCCATACCTACGCAGGTAACACGCATAACTTGTAAACAAGTGCAGATGTCGTTGCACTTTCATCTACATACTTTTATTCTATATTTTTGAAATTCTTATTATGTCTATTTATTTTTTCGACGATAATAAAATTAAAAAAGTCGATTTTTGCAAATAACACAAGGTTCCGGGTCTCGTGCAAAGTTGCAAATTTGAATAGTGGTATCGATCCCAAAATAAGACCATCCGCTCGATTTGCAAAACTTTTGCATTTCTTTCAAGGATAACAAAATGCGAAAAATCGATTTTTGCAAATGACACAAAGTTGCGAATCTCATGCGGGGTTGCAAATTTTAATACTGACATGCACCTCAATGAAACAATCATTGGCTCGATTTGCAAAACTTTTCGAAAATGAAAAATGCCATAAAGTTAAATTTCCGACATCACACAAGATTCCGGATTGCGTGAGAGGTTGTAAATTTTAATACTAACATTAATCCCAAAATTAAACAGTCCCCACGATTTGCAGAACTTTTGAATTTTTTTTCGAAAATGAAAAGTGCCATAAAGTTAAATTTCCGACATCACACAAGATTCCGGATTGCGTGAGAGGTTGCAAATTCAAATACTGACATTAATCCCAAAATTAAACAGTCCCCTCGATTTGCAGAACTTTTGAAAATTTCTTGAAGGTGAAAAAATAAAAAAAATACATTTTTGCAAATTACATAAAGTTCCGGATCGCGTATGAGGTTGCAAATTTGTAAATGCATCAGAATAGATGTTTTCGAAGTTTGCAACCAAGTTTCAAAACTTTTGTAATTATTCCGAGACCAACTTACTCGAAAAAATGACCACGAATTAAAAAGAATTATAAATAAACATGTTCCGGTCAACGAAAAAGGTTGCAAATTTATACAACCGTTCGGTATATTTTTCCGATATATGTGTCAAGTTTGCAGAACTTTTGGAACGTTTTCATTCAGTTTAATAAAAAAAAACCATTAATTTTCAATAACAAAAAATGTTCCGTACACTTAGATTGGTTGCAAATTTAATACGTGATATGAAATATTATATCGAAAACTTCCCCAAGTTTGCAGAGCTTTTGGAATTTTTTTCACGATCATACAGCAAAAATTAATATAATTGCAATTTTAACAATGTTCCGGACTGTGAACAAGGTTGCAAAATGAGATTTATTGTCGTCCCAATGTACCATTCACTTGACCGAAGTTTGAAAACTTTTGGAATTATAATTAAATTTTCGATTTCGAATGTCAATAATGACTGGACTATACTTGTAAAGGTGTTCATTTTACATTGTGGGTTACCTACAATGCGAAGAGATGGCGCTGTCTTGCAGCTTAAGAAAGGCTAGAAAGAATTCGACACATTTTACTCATGCTGTTGCCTACCCTGACCATCCTGTACCCAGTGGAGCTCTAGACTATTCACTGCCTGAAACACAAAATTACCAACAATTGTCCACCTTTTCACTGTGTCTTCTGTAAGGTGAAGGTTACTTCTCCAGACCGACGCTCCAATTCGAGCGGGAAACTCGCTAGGCTCTACCTCTCTAAAGTATTATTGACAGTGTAAAACAATAATTTACAACCAAAATGTTGTATAAAACATTTTTTTTTGGGTTGTCTTGACCATTTTATGAACTCCCATGAAACATGACAATAACATTTTTGTTACTAATAAACATTTACCGTTTTGCACATAGAACCAGTCTCCTCTGACGGTATCTTCGGTCAAGGCTTCCTCGTCGAGCGGTGGTAGTAAAGATGCCAACAAGGACAGCAATAAGGACATGGCGGACCGACTTGACATGCCACCGCCGCCTAGCCCGGCTTCTTCCACTTGCAGCGATACCAGCACTTCGCACAGTAAGTTTTTAGTAATCAAAAATTACAGTATCAGTTTTAGGCTAGGTTAATCTTAAGTCTACGTTTTGTGATAAGGCGATTTAGGTTTAAACTTGACAACAGTCTGTCCTCATCTAGCTTTATAAATCAAAAGGACAGACTGATGTCAAGTTTACAAATAGCAAAACGAATAGCTAAGTGAAGTTTCGGTATAATATACGTTATGCTTACATTCAACAAAAAAAACGAAATACCAGTATAACTTATAAATTCACAGAACGTGCCAAACGGGTGACGGTGCGCGGTGAAGAGGGCTCATCGAACGACGGTTCTAAGCGCGATGAAGAAGAATGGCCACTGAAGGAAGTCGTATTCCTCGAAGACGTAAAGAGTGTACCCATGGGGAGAGTGTTAAAAGTTGACGGAGCGTACGCGGCAGTGCGATTCCCGACGGTCGCGAAGGACGGTAAAGAAGTCGTGCCACCATCGTTAGATGACTGGACTACGCTACTACAAGATTGTCGGCTTGTTAGAAAGGACGATTTAGTAGCAGTTAAGTGGGGTGCGGGTGGCGCCGTCGGACCGAGAGGACCTGACTGCCTACAGCGTTCGCCGAGGAAGATCGCGCTACCGCCCGACGTACAAGTTATAACTATCGCTGTGAGTAGTAACTTTCTGTATTGTTTCAGTCTGAAATTATGAAAAAATACCAACTGTTTCAAGGCGTTTTTGTATATTGTATCTGAATCAGACTCATTGTTATATTTCGCCCAAAAAAAAATTCTTATTCTTCAGAAGCCTGAGCATAAGCGTAGCTAGGTATTTTTCCAAGACCGTCCCGTTAAACTAAGTTATTAATTTTTAAACTGTAAAGTCATTATTCTACTCCAAAATAGCCCAAGCACAGAAATGTTCACTCTTTCTCCCATGTTCGGTTCTAAAGATCTCTCTATGTTCGCTTGTAACTGCTTAATATCTGATTGTCCAGTTTTGACTCACGATACTGTGAGACAAAATACACAAGCCTCAATTGCGTTTAAAACTCCTTAATATCTTTCAAGACTTGAACACTTAGTATCAAAAACAAAATATCGAGGTGGGAGTTGGTTAGATGATTGAGGGTGGATCTTGCTCATTATCTATGTGATGTCATCAGTCAAGCACACTAGTAGATTTTCCACTTTCCTTCGTAAACATGAAGTAAACTTGTATGATTCCCGTTGTTCAGGTGGACAGCCGCGGTGTACACGCCGTTGTACGCCGGCCCGGTGGCGCCCTCGCGTACGCGGTGTACGCCGTGGGAACTACGCGGGCGCTCACCGACAGCGCCTTCCCCACCGACAACAATGCGCTGCTCGGATACTCCAACGGCCAGGCTATACAGCTAGCGACTGCTGCTGAGGTGAGAGTACAAGTATTGCTTTATTGTAGATCTGTAAGTAAAGTGCACGCTTTACTACGCCGGCCCAGTGGCGTTCTCGTGTACGCGGAGTACGCCGTGGGAACTACGCGAGCGCTCACCGAAAACGCCTTCCCCACCGACAAAAACGTACTCGTAGTAACGCTCGGTTACTGCAACCTCCAGGCTATACAACTAGCGACTACTTCTGAGGTAATTATAATTTCATTGAGTTCATACAGTGATTGGCGGCGGTTTTACAAGATAAAAAATCAAATCAAATAAAACATTGCGCTCATGTGATTACAGAGATAGTTACAAAACGCATAAGCAACCTCATATGAACCCTAGAACCATGAGAATAGAAGTCTTTCATTTTTTGTCGATATCCTGATTTTGTTTATAAAATTAGGGTTTTAATATAATTAAACTTTCATGTGTCTTATAGGGCAGCGAACCAGTGGTTATAATGGTGGACGGGAACGGCGCATTATACCCGGTCGCTCGGGACTGCGTTGGGATGGTGCGAGAGCCCCCACCCTTGAATCTATCCCCAGCGAGGGCGCTAGCTGCGCATGCGTTACCGCTGCATCCACATTCTGCAGCCCATGCCGCTCTCAAGTCGCAGGTTCGTTTATATTATATCAGTAGGTTAATGGTTGTAGCTTGAGATAAGAAGAGAGGTAGGGGTATACCGGTTTTTGCGCTTGAATAAGACCGCCTGTCTGAAGAAACAGCTTTTTTTAAAACTATATATTTAACAAATTTTTCAGTTTAATGCCTACTATCCGGAAAAAGAAATAGAAGAAGACCACAGTAAAATAACACTATGGGTAGGAGATAGGGTCAGGGTAGGCAACGGTGCGTGTGATAGGCTATGGTGGCCGATTACCATCACGCGGGCTACCATCAGTTTGTTTGCCACATATAAGATTGTCTAGTGACAGCCCCTAAACCCCGCCCTTGAATCTGCCCTCAGCGAGGGCGCTAGCTGCTACGTCAGTCCATGCCACTCTCAAGTCGCAGGTTTATTTCTATAATACCAATAACCTATAAGTGGTTGTAGTTCGACACTGCCTTTCTTTAGTCCTGGAATCGCGCCCCTGAATCTGCTCCCGGCGAAGTATCTACCTGCACATGCGCTACTGCTGCATCTGCACTCGGCAGCGAATGCAGCGCTCAAATCAATTATATCAGTAATCTATAATGGTTGATGGAAACGACGCACTGTACAAGCTGTCAATTCTTATAAACTAATGTAAAAATCGTTTCTCAGTCGTGGTCCAAATATATTGTTTTTGACATAATTCTTGTTACTAAAACATAAAACAATAAATGAATATAGAAAACAATGAAAAATAAGTAAGTAAAAACATCAGTAGTTTTGTATTTTAGTAACAATAACTGTGTCAAAAAAATATATCAAATGAAAATACTGAAACACCATTGACACACGATTACTTTAACTTAGCAGAATTTAAACCTAGGTCACGTAACTCAAGCACTGAACAAAACGCGGAGGGGATAGCTGCACATGGGTACGACTGGAGAGCCAATCAGCGTAACGCACGCCCACCCGCGCACCTCGTTTCCCCCCAAGACATCTTAATTTTTACTTCTGCGCAATAACGGTCAGCGCTAGTGTTTCGTGCCACGACTAATAGTTTGGTGTGTTCGTAGATATCTTTGTGCTCGAAGGAACACTACCAAGTTATTAACCAACATAACATTATTGAGTTCCATTTAATCTGTTCTTTTCTAAATGAATTGTTATTTTCAGGTCGCTCTTATAATCATTGTACCAGAACCTCAACTCATGATGCCACGAGTTTTACGCTGTGACCTTGAAGGAGTACGTCAACTCCTTCACCAATTGGAAACCGAAGCAAACAGTAATTAAAATCTTTGATATTTTTTATAATTTTAATTTTTTGAAGCTTTATCTTAAATATAAAATCCTCGTGTCACAATGTTAGTTACCATATTCCCCCAAAACAGCTTGACCAATGTATTATGACATTTTATATGCATATTCAGTAGGTCTGAGAAGCTGCTATCTATTTTTCATACCCCTAAGTGATAAGGGTTGTCCACTCCTAACATATTTTTTTATTCCTTGGATTTTTTTATTTTTATGTGGCATTAAAAATACATACAACCCTAAATTTTCACCCTTATACCACCAGCCCCTACTTTTATGGCGGTGCGAAGTTTGCTGGGTCAGCTAGTTATATATACAGTATTATAAATTTTCAGAACAACAAATATTGTCAATACTCCAAGAGCGATGTGACGGCAACAGGAACATACTTCATGCTTGTGTTCATATGTGTGCACCAACCTCTAACAAGGAACCAGACATAGGTAAGTCCTTTTTATTCTCTCTTTAATAAAATTATTATCTTGAAAACAAAAATACTTGTAAAGATTTATTAATATACAAAAAAAATACTTGAATTTTAAAACTGATTTACTGGTATTCATTTTATTGAACTTTGACAGTAGAGAATCCCTCAATGCCAAACTTGGCTGGAAACACAGGGGGTGGCGCTAGCGCAGAAGAATCTGTGCCTGCTCTGTCTTGGGCACCTGAAACCTTTGAAGCGTCTGGCGATGAAGATAGTCTGATGGGACTTACTAATAATGGGTAAGTAATATATCCTACAAATATTATAAATTTCAAAGTTTGTATGTTTGTTACTCAAGTACTGGAAATACTACTGAACGGATTCGCATGAAATTTGATACGCACATAGTTTATGACCTGGATTGGGACATAGAATACTTTTTATTCCGGAAAAATGACGAGTTCCTGTGGGATTCTGAAATACCTGAAGTTAACGCGGACGCAGTCGCGGGATACTGTATTATAAATAATTTGTGTACTGTCCTATTTTCATTCATATATTTACTAAATAGATTAGAGAGAGGATAGTACTTCGTACGTTAAGTTGTTCTACGCACGTTAGAATATCTCTACGTTTGCGCATTTATGTCCAAAATCCACAATGGATCTTCAACCAATACATACAATGTTTACGCTTTGGTCTTACCCATTATCCTGTGGTTCGACCACAGGATAATGGGTAAGGTCAAAGCGTTACAAATTTTGGAATCAACGCCTTTTAGGCTGATTAACTGCATCATAAAGCTGAAAGTATACATAATAATGGGTAAATATAATAAATACCAAGGCTATTGTTTATTTTTGTTCAGTAAAATGTCAAGTGGAGGCAACAATGGTGGAGGCGCGGTAAGCGCAGACCCAGCAGAAAGGCGAGGCAACGCTCTCTCGGCTCTCCGGGCCCTCTGTGAGAGTACTACACTCCAACCTTATCTCATGCAACTACTCACTGCCAAGTAAGGTTTTGCCAATACTTTAATTGCTAATTTTTATTGATAAAAAAGCGTTGTATCGATTCTTTTAGTCACTGCTAAATGGTTGTTGGAAAAAGTTGGACAAAATATTGCACTAATGTTGTCAAATATTCTTAGCGGAGGTTTGAATATTGTGATTTTATTAGAAATATGACATTACTTATAAATATAGTGTATTTTAAATGTACTTACTGAGTTAGATTTTTAGATTAGATTTCTTCAGTGATGGCTCTCTTAGGATTTGGCCCATATCCGGTGTTTGTGTCCAAAATTTCTTTATTTTTGCGACTTTTGAATGCACATTGTGACGCGTGTTTACATTGGTTGTGTGTTAATATTGTGGTATGAACTAATTGAAAATAAGATCTCACGCCTCAAGTGAGGCTATATTATTATTTACCGAGACAGATTTGACGCGTTGACCCCGTTATCTGTAGTGTTGTTGATCGAAGCCTTACAGAAAATAACACTACGTCTGACTGCTATATTAAGCAGAATCAACTTTTGACTTAGCAATATTGCAAATGAACGTCAGATGGCGCTTACATCGATATACTTTATCTTTATACTAACAACAACTTTAAAAAAATTACAACTCATTAGCTGTCTCTAGGTTTCACCAGCTACTTCTAACTTAATCGAACATAGCAGTCGAAAAATAAACGTTAGATGGCGCTCAATAAAGTTTATCCGTGGCCTGTGCCATGGTTCAAATCTCCATTTCACCAACAATTTGTTATTTTTTTCTTTTTATAAAACACTAAAATAAATAAAATCCAATATTTAATTGACCAAAATATTTATTCACAAAAAATACATCAATAGTAAACCATGGATCACTTGCATTTGATCATTGCATTGTTGTTAATTTCAAAAAAATGACAGCATGCCCACACATAATTACTTGCCTTTTTTATTTACTTTCTCATTTATACAAAGGGGTTTGGGTAACTTTGTATGGACGTGTGGCGTAATATTTTTTTTCAGCGGCCATCGTTCTTTTTGCTTCTAGTTTGTAACCCTATTTTAACCTAATATATTTATAAAAGAAGATTTGCTCTAAGTCATATCGGAGCGGAGATATTTTGACTTTTTAAACATTATTTTTAATTTATGAAAATCTTGCGACGGATCGAAACAATTATATATGTAAGTGGGTAGTGTTATATATGTATGTAAGGCACCCCTCTCTCTCGATATACAACAGAAACGAGCACGGAACGAGCAGATCGCGCGTAGGCGTCACGTTTGTTCATGGTAGAAGCAGTGCCAATAAGCAAAAAAATAATTAATTACTGTTAGGTACTGCCCTGTGCTCCTTGGGACATTATGTTTTTTTAGCGACCTTTATGCATCTTATTTGTAACACTATCTTAACATCTATACTAATATTATAAAGAAGAAAGCAGAGTATTTTTATAAATATATATGTTTATATTTTGTGTTTGTAACGTATAAATTCACGTTTACTGATTTTCGGGTTCGTCGTACACTTCGTTTTCAATATCTTGGCGAATAACTGTGTCCAGGAATTGTGCTGGAGGTGCATGATTTTCTTGATATCTGCCCCATCCCAGAAACCATATAATGGACATTACATGGGAACAGCAACCTAGTGTTCTCATCCCAACCACACACGAGCAATAGTGGCCCAATATCGCCTGTGGCCCTTGGCACCCTTTCTCCAATAAAATATAAACAAAATATTGTTTCCTGTTTGAGTGCCGTGACTGTATTCGGCCTCTTAAGAGCCATGGATCAATGCAGTCCAAGTTTTGCTCCCGAAAATCTTCGAAGTTCCTTGTAGATCTCGATTAAATATGACCCATTTTTTACATGTTCGCCATAATAACTCCGGGCTTCATCTATTTGGTAAGTGCCAAGTGCATATACGAGGGGAGGTCAATAAGTTCGCGGAATGGAGGGGTTGGTGGGGGTAGGTTTACTTATCCAGGTAGGCACTAGTTGAGCACCTCATTAAGAGTATATATACCAAGTTTGAACCTAATCGGGTCATTAACTTTTGAATTATCGAACTGCAAACAACTGAATCGGGAAGAAGTCAGCCAGTATGGAGAAAATTTAACACCGCGCCGTTATTAAGTTCCTTACCAAGCAAGGAAAATCCGCTCAGATTATTTTTCAAGAGCTGTTGGCGGTTTACGCGGACTCTGCCCCTGGTAAAACCATGGTTTACAAGTGGCATGATCTTTTCAAACAAGGAAGAGAGTCCATTGAAGACGACCCCTGCTCCGGACGGTCAATTGAGGTCACCACACCGGAAATCGTCGAAAAAGTAGAAAAACTTGTATAGGAAGATGCCCGGTTGAAGAAGAAGCAGCTTGCAGCAATGATTGGAGTATGCGAAACAAGTATTTTGAATATTCTACATCATCATCTTGGGATGACTAAGGTCAGTGCAAGATGGGTTCCGAGAATGCTGACGCCACTTCAAAAACGCGAGCGTGTCGAGTGTTCGCGCCAGTTTTTGGAGCTCTATGGAGAGAGAAAGGAAGAAGTTATGGCCTGAATCGTTACTGGTGATGAAACCTGGGTTCACCACTATGAACCCGAGTCAAAGCAAGAGTCGATGCAGTGGCATAAAAAAGGCACATCTCCTCCAAAGAAGTTCAAAGTGACACAATCGGCTGACAAGATCATGGCAACTGTCTTTTGGGATACAGAAGGTATTTTACTGATCGATTATAAAAAACGTGGTGTGCCTATAACGGGACAGTACTACGCTTCGTTACTAGAAAGATTGAAAGAAGCCATCAAGGAAAAAAGAAGAGGAAAGCTGTCAAAAGGTGTGCTCCTTCTGCACGACAATGCACCCGTTCACACGTGCCATGTTGCGACGGCTGCCATTCACCGATGCGGCTTCGAACAATTGAACCACCTAACCTACAGTCCAGACTTGGCACCCAGTGACTATTATTTATTTCCAAAAATGAAGAAAGAGCTGCGTGGAAAAAAATTTGACGACGATGAAGAAGTGAAGTCCGCAATTTCGGCCTATTTTGACACCAAAGACAAATCATTTTTTTTCGATGGTATAAACAAGTTATTTGAGAGATCTGAAAAATGTATTAGGGTTAAGGGAGAATATATTGAAAAGGAAAAATAGTTTGGTGTTTAATTTCAACCTCCTTCCCTCTTATTCCGCGAACTTTTTGACCTTCCCTCGTATAATGAGTTCGTCTGCGCTTAATTGCGGAAAATCGTCCATTCCCGGAACCTCAGCACTCATTGATTGAAAGGCAGCCCTTCTATGGTTCAGGCGTTTTTCTAATACATATTCGCTTAGACGATTGCGACTGCCGTCGCATAAAGGTATGCGGGTTAATATTTGTTGCACCAATCTATGATCCACCAAACGGACCCTAAATGCATTTAATAATGCCGCAGCAATCCTAATTTCATCATATAAATGAGTTGCAGGTTGCAGCAATGTTAATATTCTGCATTCTTAATTGACGAAACTGATTCTTTAGCCTGCCGTTAATGGTTTCCACTTTGGAAAAACCGATGTAATAGTGAAAGATGGCATCCTTTATTGACGCAGGTTTGTCAAAGTCCAAAGTATTCTTATGAGTTCGTAATATATCCATCATCTCCTTTAATTGTGCTGGTGAAAATTCATCCAGAATTCTACGTGTATTGGTATCGATATCATGCCAAATCTGGGCTACAGAATGTTCTCCACAAACTCGACTGCCACGTGGAATGTAAAAGCATTTCTCTTTCAGAACAATGGTCCTTATGTCAATGTGGATCCGTTGCAAATCCCTTTCGTTGCATCCTGCTATTATGCACGTATGTGTATTAAAAGGCGCTCGTTTATAGCCATTTAACTTTGTACGCATCAAGTTTACTTGCACACCTTGATCTTGATGAGTTTATACAGCTGCTGCTGAAATTACTGCTTGTGCAGTTTCATCGGCAGCAACTTCTGCAGGTTGATCATCAACAACTTCTGCAGGTTGATCACTAACAACGTCTGCAGATTGATCAGCATCACCTTCTACATCTTGTTCAGCGGTAACTTCTTCACGCGCATCAGCATGTATTTCAGCATTTCCTTGGAAATTATAACGTTGCGCACGTTGAAGACAGGGCCTACAGACTTTATCTTCATCGCGAAACTGCAAAGAACAGACAATTATTAATAACATCGGTATGTTTATTTTTAATTTGGAGCGTACTTTAATCAGCACTATACAACATGCATACTGAGTAAGTAATAGGTAGTCACACGTAATTAGACCATGAGACCACGCAACTAATGCAATAACAGTAGTGAGGTCTCATAATTACTGTCTGGCACTGCCTGGGCCCGTCAGGCGAAACAAGGATTGTTAGGTTTATGATAATTATTGTCTGGCACTACCCAATAGCGCGGGCCGAACAGTTTAGGTATTTTAATTTTTAACAATAAAAAATAATATAGTAAATGTAAGTCGTAAAACTATGATTATTGTAATTGATATAAATATTTAATATATTGAATAGGTACCTACATATCTGTAGGCAATGGATGGTTTTTGCTTGACCTTAAGCAAAATATGGTATTTATCTTAATTTAAAAATATAATATCATACATACGACGTCAGAACAACCCACAGTTATCTGTCACATTTCTTAAATAGCATTTGAACCTAATGACGAACACATAAAGTTCAATATCAATTCAGATTTTGAATTCTGAGTACCTAGGTCGAGCTGCTGCCGTAAGTAGGTATGTACAAATTATTATGTAAAATATTAAACACGTCGGATGATAGACTGTGGTCGCGGTAGTGGTGGTAAGGCACGGGATCCGGTCAGTTTAACCCACTATGTAAACAATTATACTGTGCACACAGCGCCATATCGAGTTACCCCCTTGCAGTTCCATTATAGCACTTGTGCCACCGACATAAAGACGTTTCAAAGTCCAACAAGGGTAACTCGACGTGACGCTGTGTCATACGTCAACATAGTACGATAGACCGCCGATATAACATTTAACTTTAGATTGAGTGCTTACCTGTCTTATATTAGCAATTTCAACAAAGTACGCCATCAGCTGGGGATGAGTTTGCATGAACTCTGCAGTCAAATAATAAGATCTTCGACGGCTGCCACCAATACGGTTTAAGCTTCGTCGGCAACAGATGCAGAATTCACTGTTAATATCACTCATGACGATAGCCGTTAGTAGTACAGTAGATTTCTCAGGGTCCAGTAAAAATAGCCGTTAGTAGTCACAATTTCACAATCGCACGTCCGTATATCCAGAAAAACACGCGGGGTCGTCGTTTAACAGGTCCGATAAAGTAAACAAAATACACACGCAAATAACTCAGGGGTCAAACGGTGAGTAATCTCTGATGTGCTCGTGAGGTCCAACCGAGACGTTCCTAGGCACCGCACACGCCGGCCAGGTAAACAAACTATGCGCTGTGATTGGTTGAACAAGCTAGCCGTCTCATGTGTGTCACAATAGAAAAGAGGCGCATAGTAAATGGTGCGTGGTATTTATCTCGCTTAGAAATGATGCCATAACTAGGAGTTTCAAATATTTCAAAAATAATTATTGGATTTTACGATAAAACTATTAAGTATGATATCTCGGCCCCGATACAAGTTAGCAATATGTGCTCCATGACAAAAAAAGTTTGTTTTCAAATTATCTTCCAATATTTATAACTTTCATGAGTGGCCGCCAAAATTTAAAACGACGCCAACTTTACCCAAACCCCTTTTGTCAAAACAATGATAAAAAGTCCTCTTTATTACAAAATTAAAAAACCAGAGCTTTACTAATAAACTACCTACTTACCATACGTTTGATACTGAACTATTCAGGTATTGTAGTAATTATGCCAGGCAAACTTAAATATTCATAAATAATGTTCAAAAAATTAATAATAACGCTGGTAAAAAAAACATTTGCCGAGCTCAGGGTTGAATCACTGATCTTTTGGTATCGACCCCAAGGTCGATTTCGTTCCACTATCCGTCTTGTAGCGTGTTAGAAAATTACGGATACCGACCTTGTGTCAAATACTATACTTCCGTTTCATCGAATCTCAAGTTACAACGACACTAAATAACAATCTAGACGAAAAGACATCTATTTTGCTATTCTCAAATTGTGTAAACAATGAATAATGGAACCACCTTAATCATTGGTTTATCCTACAATGTTTATTCAACAGAGATGGAATGGGCCAGACGCCCCTAATGGCAGCGGTAGCAGAGCGTGCTTACCGTGCAGCTCTAGTGATTCTAGACGCGATACGCGCATGCCCCGACGCCGACGAAACGCAGCGTTCCGCGGCCATATTCCCGCCCAACGCGCATCCCGACCACTCGCCTCTACTCGTGCTGTGCTGCAACGATACCTGCAGCTTCACGTGGACCGGACAGGAGCACATTAACCAGGTATGTAATACCGCGCCGTTCTAGTGATCCTAGATGCGATACGCGCGTGCCCCGACACGGGCGGAACGCGCATCCCGACCACTCGCCTCTACTCGTGCTGTGCTGGAACGATTTTGATGGTCGCGGGCCGCATGCCAACCATTCGTGGCCAGAGATGGCCCCTGGGCCGCAGTTTCTTACATTCAATGTAAATTTAAATTTTCAAGTATTTCTGTACTTACTGTATTTACTATTTCGACGCCACATATATTTTAATTCTAATAACAGCTTTGGATATAATTATACTTTTTGTCAACAGGATATTTTCGAATGCAAAACATGCGGCCTCACTGGCTCTTTATGCTGCTGCACTGAATGTGCTAAGGTAAAGAAAGACCTTGAAAATACATTTAAAATTGTAAAAAAATAGATTTTGCTTTGACATTATTATGTCACACAGGTATGCCACAAAGGTCACGACTGCAAGCAGAAACAGACATCGCCAACTGCATATTGCGACTGTTGGGAAAAGTGCCGCTGCAAAGCGTTGGTGGGCGGCAACTGGGCCGCTCGCTGCGATCTACTGGCTCGACTCGCTAAAGACACTCAACTCGCCACGCACTTCAACTCAAGGTACGATACGATAATCAAAATTTTATCTTTGATTTTTTTTCAGCTTGAGAGTAATCTCTAGTAATTATTAGTTCTTAAACTGTTAATTTATGCATTTGCATGTCATTTTATGGGGAAGTTTGTTGTATTGTAACGTAAATGACACATATGTTTTATGCAAATGAGTTCTATTTTCGATTGTACGTTAACAGGGGCGAGTCGATCCTGCTGTTCCTGGTGCAGACAGTCGGGCGGCAAGCGGTCGAGCAGCGGCAGTTCCGCGCGGGCGGCGGGCGCGGCCGTGGGCCTCGCAAGCAGCCCGGCTCCGACGCAGAGGTGGACGCGCCCGACCACGACCTCGAGCCGCCGCGGTTCGCGCGCCGGGCGCTGCTACATCTGCTCGGTGAGTGGCGGCCTTAGATGATGTCAATATAAAAAAAAATGGACTGTTGACTCCTTCGAGAGTTTGGGGGGGGGGGGGGGGGTGCTTTGTATAATAAAATAAAACTAGTTTTATTTCATATCGTTGTGTTAATGGGAAAAAATCTTGAGAAATAATGAATTTGTAACTTAACGCCTAAAATGACGTCACGTTAATCTAACCAACATTATTTGTAACAGCGGATTGGCCAGCCGTAGAGGCGGCGGTGATGTGCGGCTCCAGTTGCAGCAGTGGCGATACTGATAGCCGCCCATCGAGCCCCGCGCCCAACCAATCCGGAACTACGCTACTCGACAAATTCACACACGCGCTTATCGTCAAGTGTACCAATGAGGTAAGAAGGTTTAATTTCTTGTTTTTAGTAACCAAAAAAGCTTTGGTAAGCATATAAGCAAGTAAGTAGTAGTAAGTAGTTGTAAGATTTATATCTGGGATGAGTGGACTTGTGATTTCAGAGAATTCAGATTTTTTTAAACAATATATTTCTATAAGAAGGCTAGCTCCAATTTAATGCCAGGATCTAGGGTCGAGTTGTATTTTCTAGAAATAAAATTGTTAGATTTAACAATTTTGCAGTTAAATGCTTAATAAATAAAACATAATGTATCTTTTATCCTTCTTATATTATAAATTTGAAAGTTTGATACTCTATAACGCAAAAACCACTGAACGGATTTGAATAAAATTTGGTACAGATATAGTTTATGACCAGGAATAAGTCATTGAATACTTTTTATCACGGAAAAATCTTAGGTTCCTGTAGGATACTCGAAAAATTAATGTATTGGACGAAGTTGCGGTCGGCCGCTAGTATGTTTATTCCAAAGAATAAACATACTAGCGGCCGACCGCAACTTCGTGACCGAATTTTTTGAACCGTACATGGTTTTAATTAGTACTTTGTGTTGACTAGATGTTGGACACACTCCTGCATACACTGATGCGTGAGCAGCAGAACGATGCGATTCCAGGGCGCGCCGAGCGAGCTCGTGAAGTTGCGCGGCGGTTTGTACGATCCGTCGCTAGGATATTCGTCATATTCAGCGTCGAAATGGCGCCAGGTGCGGCTAAAAAGAAGGGGTATGTTGTTAACTGTTTCTTCTCTGTTGTGTGTTATCTTAACAGCTACCTGTGTGTTATATCTACATACAAGATAGATTACTGACATTAAATTAAACTGAACCTGAAACTGAATTTGAAATGTCAAATTATGGATAATTATTTATTACCTAGTTACACAAAAAGCTGCATTCTTGTAGTGCTTGCAGTGGAAGATTTAATCGAAGCGACGTTTTACTTGCGTCCCTTTGACTAAAGGGTGGCTTGCATTATACCGTTATTTTACAATGCAAACCTAATTGCTGTCTTTCTTGCAAATGCTTTTCAGACTCTAGACTGCAATTAGCCCTTTTTTTTATCAGGCCCGTGTCTATAACATCATCGCTAGTCCGCTGCCGACGCGTATTTACAGCACTCGTAGCGCTAGCAGTAGAAGAACTAGTCGAAGCAGCGGATGCTCTACTCGCGCCCGTTCGACTCGGGGTTGTCCGTCCCACCGCGCCGTTCCCACTGGCCACCACCTACGTGGAGCTCGTTAACGGCAGTGAAGATCTATTCGGCGTGGAACCACTGTCCACCGGCCATTCGCGGCTGGCACATACGCGCAGGTAACGACATTTTTATTGATTAATTTTTAAACTGACTTATCCTGTAGTCTGGTTATTGTTCCAAATATTATCCGCCTTATTCTATGTGTATTGTGTAGGTGTGGCAGATATACAATACAAATCAAGGTGGTTTACAGACTGTCTTTTTTAGCAGCAGGAAATTGCCCTATCCCATCTTATGTTAAGTGTAAGGGCGATACAGCCATGTTTCACCTTACCGTTCTAATCCCAATAACTCTCCAGGGTTCCAAGAAAACTTAACCGTACAGAAACACAACACTTGTGGAAGGCCGATTGAAATGTGCAATCACGGAGAATCACGTCGGGGTCATCAATATGGCTTCTAGTGCCGGGAGATGAGGAATGAAACAGCCAGTGTGTCGCTTGATAACTAAGAGCGTAATTTATTATTATTTACATCTTATATACTAATTTTCCTAACTAATATTTATGTGCGACAGCTGTAAATTCCGTGCTCGGCGTGTTCTGGATACAACGTACACGCTGACGCTACAACACCACCAAAAGATAGACATGCTATTTTACCCTGGTGTATTTATCTAGAGAGTCGAACGCGACCGGCGGTCGGGGCAACAACCCTGGCGTGCTCACTTCAATGGGCAGCTCGACTCTCGTACCGGACCGTTCATCGACGCCGGTGGCTACGGAATACGCAGACGACGTGGCAGGCGAGGCGTTGGGCGGCGACGATGACGCCTCAGAGACGGACGAGCCAAATGTGCCCGCGCCCGTGCCGCCTGCTGATGCGCAACACCACGACGATGCCATGGGCGAAAGGTAACAACTCCTCCAATTACTAGAATAACCCAGTACCGACAAAGGTCGAGCCCAGCGCGGTTGTCGACACCGGTGGCATCAGACTGCGTGGATGACGCGGTTTCTGTGGGTAACGGTGACCCGCGCGTACCTACTGGTGTCGCAAATAAACCGTGTGAATTTTGCGTTGTATTGTAGGTAAAAACCTTAAATTTCACATTGCTTGATTGCTCCGTGAGTTCTTAGCCTCAGTCATCATTTATTTTACGGATCTTCTTACTATTAATTCTATGTACTATTTTTGTCTGTCTCCCTCTGCATCGCATGTATGTGTTTTATTTAATATTCGTAAAGGATTGTCTTAAGGTCATTTAATCAGTAGTATTCAATATTGATTCCTGTCCTCAGAGTACAAGAACAGCACGTGGTCGTAGAGAACGGTACAGAGCGCGCCGAGGGCGGTGAGAGCGAGAGCGAACTAGATCTCCTCGCTGAAGTGGAGACGGAGAGCGACTCCGACGATCAGGACAACGCCGAGTCTGCGCAAAGAAGCGTGCAGACCGGCGCGACGCAAGGCTCTGATGCTGGTAAGTTTTTAGCTGTAGGTAGAGCTGTTGTCATCCATTGTAGTGGTTTAAATCTTTGTCCGATTTTATAACTTTTCGAAAGTATTGGCATTTGATGGCAAAACTTAAAAGATTTATACTTGACTAGCTTTTGCCCGCGACTCATACAGGAACAAATCATCCATCCATCTAGGTAATAAACTAAATGAGTGGTAAATTTCATAAAAGTCCGTTTAGCTGTTTTTACGTGATTGAGTGACATGCAATCTTTCACGTTGTTTATATAGGTACGATTTGAATCTTTGTTTTTTGTTATAAAAGATCATGTTCAGAAAAGTAGGGTTCATTTAAACTCCGTGTTAAATTTGCCACGTAGCGTTCTCGGTATGAAAGGACAATGGCGAATTCCCATACAATTTTTGTTGAAATTTTTTTTTGCGTCTATAAATGAATTGCATGTTAAATTACAGTTTAGAAACTATAGTTAACTATAGTTTAGAAACTATTTGATTCGTCTTATTTCGTTTATTATAGGTAGTCTGGATTTATGGATATTCTATTTTGAAGTTTTGGGAGGTTATGTCATAACAAGTAATACAAAAATAATTTATAAAAGTATTTTCAAGAGTATTTTTATATCAAAATAAAAAATACGTGGAACGGAACTATGGAAGTATACCGGTCCCGTAGATTAGTGACGAAAAAAAAAGATTTTTATATTGTATGATCAGCGGGCGTATCTACTGACCGAAAGCATCAAAAACTGAAAATACTTAATAATACTTAACATACACGGGTTATTGAGTTCAAATACAATGTATGTGCTGTAAGAAGCACATAACAATATGAAAATGCCCACATCAATAATAAAGCATAAAAAAGGATTTCTAATAGTGTATTATTTAAATATGAAACACTTTTTTATATATTTTTATTCCACATCTTCTTTGATCACAATATCATAGACAGTAGATACAATGATATAAAATCCACAGTATGGGACAGAATTTTTTCCAAAATCCACAGCACAAAGTCGTCCAAAATATCAGATTTGGAAGTCTTAGGCAAGCACTACTCAACAGTCACACAAAAACAAAATCTCAGAAAAAACAATACGCCGATTTAAATCTTTGCAATACGCATGCACAAGCAACGACAATGATAACAATAATTCAATGACAAGCATGACAGTGACAGTTACAGTTTTTTGTGTTAGAATTGGCGCCATACTCTTTTTGTATTGTGGAGATTATTTATTATGGTTTTAGTATAATATTGAAAAATAATGTTTCCCGATACTTTTGATAGATAATTGAATATAGTTTAAGCGTAAAGCGATGCATAATATACGAACAACATATTTAAAGTTGATCTCATCTTTAAAATCACTTAAATAAATGGCTCAAAAGCCGTGGCTTGGCAGCCACAATAAAAATGAAAAATAAATAGTCAATTGTATTTCCCTTTTCTAAGTTTTTTAATTCCAGACTTAGACAACCCTCCTCAATTGTTTATTAAACCTTTTGAGATTATATTATTAACATTTCTGATTGTTCATACTTAACACTGATAATGACATTATAGACGCTAAAGATTTACTTCAACAAATATATCGCCATTGTCCTTTGTTTCTATTCCAATTACCCGATGATCCGCGACAGGCATAGCTTCGCTGCTCCTGTACCCAGAAGAAGAGAGCGGCGACTCCACGCAGCCCGAGGATGAAGACTCCGAAGCCGGGGAAACGGACGAACAAGACGGGGAGACTGAGCCCCCCTTACACGATGGCGAGCCGCTGGAGAGGAGAGCCGCTCCCCCAGCGCGGCCTAACCTTGCGCCGCACTCAATGCAGTGGGCTATACGGTCAGTTAAACTCCAAAATTACTTAATTAACAGTAAAAAGTTAGTATATAATCAAAAACTAGGAGGCGGCAGCAATGTATAAGTAGGATGAGGAGATGGAGCTGCGGTTTCGCAATGGCGAGCTCGAGAGGATCAGAGTAGTGCTATTCAGCAGGTTGGTCCCATCCTCGGGCTCCATCTAGTGAACTCGCTCGAACATTACTCCTTATTTCTATTGTATAACGATAACTGCCAAAGGGGGAAACGGACGAACAACACGGGGAGACTGAGACGCCATTTGATGGCGAGCCGCTGGGTAGGAGAGCCGCTCCACCAGCGCGGCTTAACCTTGCCCCGCACTCTAAGCAGTGGGGTATACGGTTACTTACACACAAATATTACCCTACTAGCAGCAAACGTTATTATAAAATCAAAAACTAGGCTGCGGTTATGGAAATGCATGAGCAAGATGGAGTCACAGCATATGCCGCACTGACCTGCCTCTCATGCGGAGCCTAAGCGAGTTTTGTTCGATTATTACTCTTAAGCTAACAAAAAAAATGAAGAAAGAAAAAACGCAAAAGCTAGCCTCTGTATTAGTGATTGCTCGGAGGCGGAATGGTTGGCGATAGGTGGGCGATACCAAGCAGTTCTCATAATCGATATAGTTTTTATTCAAGTCTTTTCTGACTAGACTTATAAAGTTAAACATGTCACAACACATCACATCACAACGCATTCAGATATTTTTGCTATGACTGTAAATACAACAGACTAATATCGCTCTTACCGCTACGCAATCAGACTCACCAACTTTTGCATTTGTTATCGCGCAGGTCCCGCGAGACCAACCGCGGTACTACCGGCAGCACGGGCGGCGTGCGCCTGTCGGGTGGTTCCTCGCTTGTGTTCATAGATCCGGCTTCGCTGCGTCGCTCCACCGCCGCCGCAGCGGCCGGCGCTCACGACCCGCACTCCACATCCACGACCGCCTCGTGTCTGGCAAGAGCTTTCGGTAAGTAACGAATAAACCACTCGTGAAATATTATTTAATACTCTATTCAACTTCCTCTGTGACAAAAGGGAACCAAACCATAAAAAGGTCAAATTTAATAAGCATCTTCTAATTTATAAAATTCTCGTGTCACGGTGTGCGTAATTGAACTTCTCCGAAACGGTAGTAGGTCTGAGAATCAGACATCATATTTTTCATCCCCCTAAATGTAAAGGGTGGTCCAACCTTATTTTTTTTTTTGGACACACTTTTTTTTATTTTTAGTTTTTTATGATACATCATACAAAAATACATACAACTCTAAATTTTCACCCTTTTCCACCAACCCCTATTTTTATAGCGGTACGAAGTTCGCTGGGACAGCTAGTAGAATCTTAATTAAAAAACGTGTCACTTTTAGTGACCTAAAACTGAAGCTAGTAGAGTCCGCGTCACTACTAATAAAAATATTTCACCATTATTTGTACGGTCGAGAGATTCCTTTCATATTGCGCACAGACCACAAACCACTTCTGTCAATTTTTGGCTGCAAGAAAGGTGTCCCTGAGTTGGCAGCAAATCGGTTACAAAGATATGCTTTATTTTTGTCAGCTTATAATTTTAACATCGAATACGTAAAGAGTGAATCTAATGTGGCAGATTTTTTATCACGGTCAATAAAAGACTGCAAAGATTTAGAAATTCTAGAGCATACCGATATCGATAAAAACTTTTATATAAATTTTATTTCGGACTATGATTTAACGCCTATAACAGTAAAAAATATTCAGGAAGCGACATTACGAGATCCAGTTTTACAGAGAGTAATCGAGTTTATCAGAAATGGTTGGCCTAGAAATATAACAAATTCTAGTTTACGACCGTATTTTTTATGCCGTTTAGATTTGTCATATGAAAGGGGGTGCATCTTACGTGGTCATAAAATAATTATACCAGAAGTTTTAAGAAAAACAATATTAAATGAATTACATCGCTCACATTTTGGAGTAACAAAGACAAAAAGCAACGCTAGGCAGCGCATGTGGTGGCCCCACATTGACAAACAGATAGAAGAAACAATAGGGTCTTGTAAATTGTGCAACTCTATCCGCGACGCGCCGCCGCGTGCCCCTCTGGCGCCATGGCCGTTTCCAAAACGTCCATGGGACCGAGTTCATATTGATATGTTTTACCTGAATAACAAAAACTTTTTTATCGCAATAGATGCTTATTCTAAATGGGTTGAATGTTTTTACATGTCTAATACAAACAGTGATGCAATTATAGAAAAGTTGTCAGAGATATTCAGTAGGTTTGGATTAATTCGTACGTTAGTTTCAGATAATGCTACTAATTTTTGCTCACAAAAGTTTAAAGAATTTTGCTTTCTAAATGGCATTAAGCACATCACGATTGCACCGTATCACCCGGCATCGAATGGGCAAGCAGAAAACTGTGTAAAAACTGTAAAAAAAGGTTTAAAAATCATTATGTCACACGATCGATCACAAAAATCAATAATACAGGAAATGAACAAATTGTTTGATTATAGGAATTCTGCTCATTGTACTACCGGTTTTTCTCCAGCTCAATTATTACTCGGCCGCCCATTACGGTGTCGTCTCGATCTGTTGAGGGTTACCGAATCAATGGACAATTTGGAAAGTGAGATGTCGTTATCATCCGTAGCACATTCTAATGTACTAGAAAAACAGATCTCACAGTGTAAGTTATATGGAGGTCATCGTAATAAAACATTTTCACAAGGAGAAATAGTATTAGTGAAACAATATTATAACAATGGGAATAAACATGAATGGAAACTTGGAATTATTAAAGAAAGAATGGGTACTCAAATGTATTCCGTAAGATTAAAAATTAATAATAACATTGTGATAAAACATGTTGATCAATTATTGCCATATAAAGGTAATACGGATGCTGTGGATTTTGAGGATGTTAGTAACTATGGGGACTATTCCTATTCGCCGACAGAAAATGTGGGGGAAGGAGTTTTATTAGAGAACGATGATGCCGTAGATAATTCTTTTTGCTCCTTCCCTGGAGAAGAACAGGAAGTCACCGGCGATGGTGTTCCATCATCGCCGCAGGCAGAACTCGTTCATGAATCACCACCCACCTGCAACCCTACTAGGCCTCTAGACATAGCACCCCGACCTGAACGCCTTGTTCGATCAACCCGGGCAAAGAATCCTAATTATAAAGTGTAACAAACTATTATTTTATGTAATATTGGTGGAGGGATATAGTATATTTGTATTGTGGGTAAATGAATAATAAAACTTGTTACTGAGGCAGTCTGTCATCGCCGATTAAACGTTGTATTACGTACTCCATATTTTATTATTTAATGTCCTTTAACTCCTCAAATAGGACAATAATATGTTTGCGTTATATTTGAGGCAAGTAAAAGAGGATAGATCGAATCGATCGACAGGTGACCTTCTAGCGTACGTGACATATATCTGGGGTGAGGCTATCGATAAGCGAGGTGAGTCTTTGGCTATCAGCCTTAACATCGCCAAGGCTTTGATAGGGTCTGGCACATAAGTCTTCTCTCCAAGCTTCCTGGATACGGTCTGCCTACTCAGTTCTGTGCCTGAGTGGCTGACTTCCTGCATGAGCGTCAACGGACGGCGACGGATGTAGTTCGCAGTTCATGTCAGTGAATGCCGGTGTTTCTCAGGACTCCGTCCTATCCCCTACACTCTTTTTGCTGCATTCAATGATTTAATTCCTCTTGAGAATATTCATTGCTATGCAGACGATAATACAGTGCATGCGGGATATTTTGGATACGCAGCCGTTGGACAGGTAGAAACCAAAGAGAAACGGGAGAATCTTGTCATTGAACTCAATAAAGATTTGGACTGCATTTCGGAATGCGGTACCAAGAACTTGGTTGAGTTCATTGCCAAGAAAGCCCAGGTCTGCGCTTTCACGGTAAAACTAACGTTTTTTCACGCCTGAGCAACTGTGCTTGTTGTACATGACGTAAGTACGGTGATGCTTTGGATAGGTTACAGCGGCGCGCGATCCGCATTATTGTCGATAAGGAGGTGACTAAACACCTCGAGGCTCGTCAATTACGCCGTGATGTAACGTTATTAAGCGCGTTTTATCGACTATACCTTGGCGCATGTTTTGAGGAGTTATTGTCTCTTAACCTACCTTCCCCTTTCCTACAAGAAGTCTACACGCACTGGCTTACGTTGCCACCGACTTACTGTGAACTACTATTCCCACTGTTCCAACGTGAACAAAGAAATTTGGTAACTCATTTCTTTGTCAGACTATCCGCAAATGGATTACTTTGCCCTCTTACGTGTGTGAAGTAGCAATTCTGCAGGCCGGCAAAATGAGGATAGCTGGTGTGGCAAGTAATACTGCTGTACCAGCTATCTTCGCGTCTAGACTCCTCCGTCATCGAACCTCTGGTGGAGTCATTTCTTGAGCCTATTTATAAAAAAAAATCTATAGCAAAGAAATTTTTTTGATTTTTGCTACAAAGGTGTCATATCTGAGGAGTACCATGGATTATGCAGAACTTTGGCTACAGAAATAAGCCAATCTGATTGTTTGCCTTCAGAAACCATTTTTGATGACTCATCATGTGCAAGCGAGTCAAGTCAAGTTTTTTATATAGAAATACTATCGGCCGCCAATGACTTCATCCGCTTTAACTTTAATATACATTTTTAAACTAGAAATTTTAGATTGAAATACTACTGCATCCGAAATATCGAACCTACAGTTTCTCGGTAAACGTACATCACAAACCGAAATTATTTAATATACCTATATTGACTCAAGGATCTCTAAAAACTTATGGATGTATCATATCGGCGATACTTTCATTCCCTGGACTCTTATCGGCATTACAGTCCACCGAATGAAATGAAATGAAAAATCTTTATTGGCCATGGTATAAGGAACAGGAAAAAAAAATATAAAAAAGAAACTTAACCTAAGAACAAAAATTAATCATTACATTTAAAATGGCCAATCAGGACCCTGCCTCAGCTTATGCTGATACAATGAGAAAATATTCTCTCACTGTATCAGCGCTGGTATTCTGGCAGGGCCTGTTTGAGGACGTGTTAGGCGCTATAGTAAACAAAATAACATAAATACTTGGTATCGATTCTGGCGTGACTCTCCGAACCCAAAACCAAATTCAACACCAGTCCCTCCCCTTCATTCTGTATAGAGAATGACAGGAACGCACCGCTGTCAAACCCAAGAGTAGCCCTAGAGAATCACGCCATAATCGACATCATTAAAAAAGAATACTTAATAATAAAAATAAAATAAGAACAAAAAAAAAAGAAGGACATTTCGACATTTACATTTTGAAAAATTATAAAATTACATCTTAGGCACACGTCAGACAATTGCACATTAACTGTATATACATACTCGTACATGCACGCACATCCACAGATACGCATATATATTCATACACAGCACGTACACATACATACACACACAGAGATATATATATAGAACATAATATTCATAAATAAAAATAAAATAAAAATACATTTACATATATAAAACTAGCTCAATTGTCCCCATATCACTGAAATGGTATGCTTACTATTTGGCGGGAATCCACAATGACGTTGTTGCGCGTGCGTGTGATCCACCTAAGGCGGCCTGACTCGAAGGGAGCACTGACAAGCGGGATACAACAAAACAATGTTAACGAACCTATTTCACAAAAACTTACTGTCCATGGAAATGATAACTTTTTCCAGGACAAAAGTTGTGTGCTTGTTACATGTATAAGAAAGAAGGTAAACAAATAATAGTGGTTTTTGTTGATAGGCTATATTATATATTACTAGCTGACCCAGCGAACTTCGTACCGCCATAAAAAAATAGGGGTTGGTGGTAGAAGGGTGAAAATTTAGGGTTGTATGTATTTTTGAATGATGTATCATAAAAAAATTAAAAAAATATATCTAAAATGGAAAAAAAAATTAGGGGTGGATTAC